CGCCGGCCGCCGCGCCGCCGCCGCCCGTGACGTGGCACGCCGCGCCCCTCAAGCTGCCGCCGCCGCCGGCCCGGGGCCCGCCGCCGACCTTCGGCGCCGCGCCCCGGGGCCTGGACACCGTCGTCGACTTCGGGCTGCCGCCGGGCGGCGCCGTGGCCATCCCGGGCCTCGCGATCGCCGCCGCGGCCGCCGCGCCGCCCGAGCTGCCCTTCGGCCACCTGCCCATCCACGAGCCCGACGCGCTGCCCAAGCCCCGGGACGCGTTCGACGCGTAGCGACGTGTTTATTCGACGCGAGTTTGTTATTCCGAGGCCTCCGCGAAGCGCGGCGCGAGCGGGAGCGCGCCGTCGAGGCGCTCGAGCACGAGGCGGAAGCGCTCGCGGTCGACGTCGCAGGCGAGGTCCGCGCCCAGTCGAACATTGACCTCGAAGATGCAGAGCGACCCGTCGCGGCGCTCCTTGTAGTTGAAGTTGCAGATGCCCGAGAAGCCCGCGAGCATCTTCGACATGACGGCCAGGTGCGCGTCGGGCACCGCGCTGTCGCACTCGCGCAGCTCCTTGCGCTCCCAGACGCGGTGGGGCCAGCAGTACAAATCGTGGTTGTAGGTGTAGGCCGTGCGGACGACGTCGAGGATCTCCGCGTCCTTGACGAGGAGCGACGTCGAGTATTCGACGCAGCCCGGCAGGTGCTCCTGGCAGAGGAACTTGTCGCCGATATGGTCCTCGTCGATGCGGAACTCGTCGAAGATGGCCGGCACGTCGCGGGGCGTCTTGGCCAGGCGCACGGTCTTGCCGTACTCGCCCGTCGGGAGCTTGACGACGCACGGGTACCGCGCGGCGTCCATGGCCTCGTAGTGCGCGGGCAGGAACTCGAGGAGCCCCAGGCGCTCCGCGCGGCCCCGCAACCGCACCTTGTTGTCCAGCTCCTCGATGACGTCCGCGTCGCAGGTCAACACTCTCCAGCCCGCGCCCTCGAGGCGCGCGCGCTGCTTCGCGATGGCGATCGCCGCGCCGCCGACCGTGGGCACGAGCCAGCAGCCGACCTCCGGCGGGTCGAGCCAGTGGCGCGCCTTGGCGTCGTTGTCCCAGAGCTCGGAGCCGAACTGGGTCGCGGCCTCCGTCTCGTCGCAGCGCACGTAGTTGACGTGGCCCAGGTTGTCGCCCGCGATGGCCTCGCCCATGGGCCAGCCCCACTCGCCGATGGCCGACGGCGTGAAGGCGAAGCGCGCCGCGCAGGTCCGCGCGGGCGTCAGCTCGAAGGGCAGGACGTCGCCCGCGGACAGGCGCCGGTCCGGGTGCGCGCCGACGACGGCGTCGAGCGACGTCGCCTCCCAGGCCTTCGCGGGCCGCAGCCGGTCCGGCTTGGCCTCGGCCTCCCGGGGGAAGCGCGGCGACGCCGCGGCGATCTGGAGCCAGGCCTCGCCGGCGCCGCTCTGGAAGAACCAGTGGGCCCGCTCCTGCGCCGCGAGCCGGAGCCACCGCGCGCCGTCGGTCCGGTTCTCCGGGTGGTCCCCGAGCACCGCCGCGCCGCGCTCCACGAAGCCCAGGGGCCGGCCCCGCGCCGACGGCGCGTCGACGACCGTGCAGGCCTCCGCGAGGATCCACCACGCCGCGCCGAGGGGGCGCACGACGCCCGCGACCGCCGCGGCCGACTCGAGGCGCGCGTAGCACGTGTGGCTCGCGTCCCGGTGGGGCAGGCCCTCGCCCTTGAGGCACTTGAGCGTGAGCCAGCCGTCGAGGGGCTCGTAGACGTGCATGCGCACCTTCTCCGAGTCGTCCTCGACGAGGCTCTCGCTCCGGTCGCAGAGGACCGTCGTCCCGCCCTCGAGGATGCAGATCTCCTCGCTCGCGATGAGCACGGCCTGGCGCAGCACGGCGCCCTTCTTCTTCACGACGTACTGCCGCGGCGAGGGGAAGAGCACCATGGGTGCCGTCCCACTTTCTGGTCGAGTTAGGCCACTACGATGTCGACGTCTTCTTCCAAGCCTGCTTGAGCAGCCCTCATCCCCACAATAAATTCAACATTATGAAAATTGAACTTGTGTTGCACCTCGACCGATTATCGCGTCCTACATGAGCGCGCACGCGTCCTTCGTGACCTTGCCCTCCTCGTTCTGCTTGATGAAGTCCTTGACGCCGTTGGGCTGGCGCATGCGCTCGGGGTAGTTGAGGAGCTCGGGCTTGCCGCGGTAGGCCGGGATCGTGTAGGGGTAGGTGGGCACGAGCTCGTCGCCGTTGAGCTCGCAGGTCAGGACGTAGCGGTAGCCCGCCGGCGTCATGAGGCCGTTGCAGACGTCGAGGTCGCCGCTCCCCGCGACGAACGTGGGGTGGCCGAGGTGGCCCGCGGCGCCGGTGTAGCTGCTCTTGGCGAAGACGACCTCGCCGTCCTTCTCGATGAGGGGCCCGTGGATGGGGAAGCCGTCGAAGGCGACGCCGCAGGCCGCCGACGGCGTGCCCGCGGCGATGGCGTCGCGCAGCGCGCCGGCGAGCTCCGCGTTCGCGCCGTAGAGCGACGGCGCGACGACGTCCGCGGCCTGCAGGCCGAGCGCGGACGCGCCCTGGACGCAGCGCGGGAACTGGTGGTAGTGGCTGCGCGCGGGGGGGGACGGATGAGTACAGGACGCCGCGATGAACGGCGCGGGCGGACGCGCTATCGGCTCCCGCCGTCCGGGTGGCCGCAGCAGTTGTCGAACGCCTCGAGGTCGATGCCGTCCTCGCCGTCGGTGGCCTGGGCAGGACAAGAGAGATTCAACGTCTCTTCAACGTGAGTGTTCCGCGCGCGCGCGTCCCGGGAAAAGTATCCACGCTTCGAGACCGTTCCAAGAGATGATCGCTCGTCCAAAAATCAGCCAAAACGAGTGGAAAACGGCCGAGATATGAGGCTTTGAAGTTTGGAATTTCGCTCTCTTGTCCTCGCCGTCGGTGGCGAAGGCGTTGTAGATGGGCACGCCGTTCGCCGCGACGGCCATGGGGCCCATGGGCGTGGGCATGGGCCGCTCGCCCGCCGGCGGGTCGTAGGGCTTGGGCTCCAGCGGCAGCACGAACTTGTAGTTCTGCTCGCCGATGACGTTCGGATTCTTGTCGAGGCGCCCGTTCTTGGACCGCACCTTGTACCACTTGCCCTCGGCCGTGACGCCCCAGTCGCCGGCCTTGGCCTCGCTCTCCGTCTTCGGCATGTAGCCGGGCACGCCGTTGCCTACGATCGTTCGATGGCTTCGGCGCGTCTCCGCGTTCGCCGCCCCGGCGCGCGCTCTCGACGAGGAGGTAGGGCGTCGGCCTCTCGCAGACCTTGAGCTTGACGCTCGCGTGGAGGTCGGCCTTCTTCTTGTCCTTGGTCATGCCGGGGATGGCGAGCGTTGTGGACCTGCGCGCGGGTCGGGTCCGCGGCGGTGGTTCAGCGGGGCGCGGGCAGCCCACGGATCGAGTTCCGAGAGGATGCCCGCCGTGGGCCATTTCTTCGCGTCGGCCGGCGTCAGCGCGCGCCACGTGAGGTGACCGATGGCCGGCTCGTACTTGGCGTTGGGCGGGCCGCTCATCCTTCTCTCTGTGCGACGAAGCCTCTCTCGATGGATGGGAATGGCCGCGCCGATCGAGGGCTGCCCAGTAAACTTTTGGCAAAGATGCCGCTTGCGTGCATTATTCAGCGATCGAGGAAGGAAGCATGGCATCGATGGTCGACGCCAGCGGAGCACCGATCGACGAGGACGACGCGTCCAGCAGCGACGGCGAGCCGGAGATCGGCCTGGAAGGCCTGCGGCCCGAGGCGCTGGCGGCGCTGCTCGAGGTGCGCAGCGCCCGCGAGGACGCCGTCGCGCTCGAGGCCGAGGCCACGGACGGCGCCGTCGCCGAGGACTTTGGCCTGTCCCAGTTCTGGTACAGCGACGCCTGCAGCGACGCGCTGGCCCGGGCCTGCGCCGCGGGCGCGCGCGGCGGCCGCGTCGCCGTCGTGAGCTGCCCCTCGGTGCACCGCGCGCTCTGCCGCGCGGGCGACGAGCGTTCCGTGCTCTTCGAGTTCGACGAGCGCTGCGGCGCGCACCTGCCCGCGGGGCGCTTCGCGAAGTACGACTTCAACGCCGACTTCCGCGCGACGATCCCCGCGGCGTTCGAGTCGCAGTTCGACTTCGTCGTCCTCGACCCGCCCTACGTGTCCCGCGACGCCGTCGACGCGTTCTGGGCCTTCGCGACCTGGCTCGCGCGCGACGCCGCCGCGCCGCCGCGGGCGCTCTTCCTCACGTCCGTCGTGAACCGGGACTGGCTCCTCGAGACGCCGGCCTTCGGGGGCCTCCGGCTGACGGCCTTCGACCTCGAGTTCACGTCGAAGCTCGCGACGCCCCTGCGCGCGTTCACGAACGCCGCCGAGTTCGCGAGCGAAGCCGGCGGCTTCGCGGCCGACGACGACTAGAACTTATTCTCTTTCAGTAGCCCGCCGATCTCCGTCGCCGCGAGGTCGAGGCCGAGGCGGCGCCAGTCCGCGAGGAGCGCGTCGTACTCGTCCTGCGTCGGGATGTAGTGGCCGCTGTGGGGGCTCAGCTTCGTGACGACGCCGCCCCGGACCTCGACGGACCCGGCGAAGCGGCAGCAGTGGCCCCGCGTCAACGAGCTGTGGTGGAACGCGCCGCTGACCTTGCGCGCGGCGTACATGTGGCCGAAGTGGTCGACGACGAAGATGCCGCTGCGCGCGCGGTCCGCGACGCGCGGCAGCGGCCGCTTCCGCCCCGGCGACCCCGCGAGGCCGTCGTCGTGGTCCAGCGCTCGCGCGACGGCGCCCCACGTCGCCTCCGGGAGCTCCGACGGCAGCCCGTAGCGCGCCTCCGCCGCGTCGCGGACCTTGAACGCGTCCCAGAGGCGGTCGTACTCGTGGAGCTCGTCGTCGGAGGGCTTCGCCTGGCTGCGCAGCGCGTGGTAGGGATCTCGAAGCTTCCTCAGGCAGCCCTCGGCGACGAGCGGCGCGAGGATGCGTTCGCGGTCCTCGCGCGACACGGTGTCGACGCCGGCGGCCGCGGCCGCGGCCGCGGCCTCGCGCGCCGCGTCGACGAGCCTCTCGCGCCGCGCGGACCGCACGAGCTGCGCGTCGACGAGGGCGGCGGCCGCCGCGGCCCGGAGCGTCGGCGCCGCCGCCGCGGCGCCGTCGTGCAGGTCCACGGGCTCGCCGTCCGCGAGCCAGACGAGGAGGCCGTCGCGGATCTCGACCTCGAAGAGCCGGAGCTCGTCGCGCGTCAGGTAGAGCACCTCGCATTCCTCGAGGAAACGGCGCGGGCAGTCGGGCAGGTCCACGAGGCAGCCGCGGCCCTCGTCGAGCCACATGAAGAAGGACATGCGCGTGCGGCTCGTCTCCCAGCGCTGCCAGTACGGGTAGAGGATCGAGCCGTAGCGGTGCTTCTCGTCGAGCACCTCGAGCCACTGCTTGGGCACCACGCCCATCATGAACGTGCCGGCGTGCGGCACGCGCTCCTGCGCGTGCTGCCGCGCCTTGTCCGTCTGCTTGAGCAGCTGTTTCACGCGCGCGTCGTCGTCGCGCGGTCCGTCGTTGCGCGTGACGTAGAAGCCGCTGCACGCGATGGCGGCCGGGCGCAGCGCGCGGCGGAGCATCGTTCAGTGCAGTGGACGCGCAGGCACGAGCTGGCCCATGCCCTGCTCCGCGCTCTGCTGGCCTCAGCTAATGAAGCGCAGTGCGCGGCGGAGCATGCTCGAGCTGCTCCCGCGGATTCAACAACACCGAGCTGCTCCGTCGGATTCAACAACATCACAAACCCTTACCCCGTCGGCTCCTGCTCGATGGGCAGCACGGGTGTCTTCTCGGACCGCGCGGAGAGCGACGACGCGACGGACGCGGCGTCGCCGTCCTCGAGCTGGGGCCGCGGCGAGCCGCCGCGCTTTTTCGAGCTCTTCGAGCCCTTGGAGGCGACGGAGCCCGCGTCCGCGAGGGCCCGCTCGGCGCCCGCGGCGACGCCGGCCTCGAGCGCGTTCGCGGGCGCGACCTTGGCCGGGAGCGCGGCGCTCGCGGCCGCGTAGTAGGTCTCGCGGCGGCGCTTCGACTCGAGGCGCTTCGCGCGCTTCTCCTCGCGGAACTTGCGGACGTAGTCCTGCTCCGCGGCGACGAGCTCGCGCTCCTTGGGCGGCATGGGCCGCGTGAGCGCCTCGAAGGCGTTCTGCGACCGGAGCGCCGGGTCCGCGACGTAGATCTTCGTCGGCACGGGCGGGTCGCGCTCGACGTACTCGGACTCGTCGGCGACGAAGGTCCGGAGGCACACGGGGCCCGGCCCGCGCCGCCGCCGGAGCACGCACCTATAGAAGAAGTGGAGCAGCGCGTCGCCGCAGTGCAGCGTGCCCTTGCCCAGGCACTTGAGGAGCGCGAGCACGTGGCGGCCCGCGATCGTGCCCGTCGCCTTGCACGCGCGGCCCGCGTAGAGGCGCGCGCAGCCCGCGCGCGTCTGCTCCGAGCCCGGCCGCTTGCGGAAGGTGTGCGCGACGAAGCCCTGGCCCGAGACGAACTTGCCGCGCGCGCGGATGCGCGCGAGGAGCACGGGGTCGGGCATGGGCGCGCCGTAGAGCGAGCAATAGAAGCACTGCGTGGGCATGAAGATGAGCTTCGAGCCGCAGGTCGGGCAGGGCGTGTCCCGCGCGCAGCGCACGAGGAGCGCGCCGACGACGCAGGCCAGCAGCACGGCGCAGACGACGAAGGGCAGCCCGTGCGCGCCCGCGAGCCAGTTGTAGGGCCGCGGGTCCTTGTTGCCCTTCATGACGATGCGCTGGAAGAACTTGTCGCCGGCGCGCAAAGTCTCCGTCTCGTAGGTCTTGACGTGGCAGCCCGTCACGGACCGCCAGTAGGAGCCGTCGTTCTCCGTGAGCTCCTCGACGTAGACCGTGAGCTCGTAGCCCTGGAGGTACCAGCTCCTGCCGTCCTCGCGCTCGCGCGCGGACCGGTAGCGGCAGCTCTGCTCGTCGACGCGGCTCCGCACGCCGTCCAAGTAGTCGTTGCGCGCGTTCGTGTCCGGGTGGGGCCCCGTGCCGCCGCGCTGGGAGCCGGGGATCTCGCAGACGCACGAGCTGTTGTCCGCGGAGCAGCTCCCGTAGTCGCCGTCGGCCTGCTTCGACGTGCACGATAGAGGCCGGCCGTCCATCTCGTACTCGCCGAAGATGCCCTCGTACTCGCAGCCGATGCGGCCCATGGCGCAGCGCACCATCTTGTCGTCCTTCTCGTCGCGGTTCCGCGCGAACCGGAACCTGTGTGGAAATCAACCACTGAACTTCAGAACTCTCTAGCTCGGTCAAATCGAAGTCGATTCGGCTGATTTTTGGACGAATCGATTGCTCTCGTTCAGTTCTCGAAGCACGGCCAGAGAGTCTGGTCCAAACCGTTCAATTACGCTCACATTGAATCCGGGTTGAAGATTTGATTTCCACACAGACCGGAACTCGTAGCCGTAGTAGCCCGTGTCGAACTTCGTGCGGACCGTCGCGTCGACGGCGCAGTCGAAGTTCCACTCCTCGTGGATGCGCTCGTTGGGCTCGTCGTAGAGCTGGCTGCAGCACTGGAGGCAGAGCACGTCCGACTCGCCGCGCGGGCTCATGTTCCAGCCCTCGGTCTTCTCGTAGTACCAGACGCCGGGCGGCACCTCCTCGCCGTCGTCGTCGAGGAGGTTGCACTTCGTCGTCACCTCCTCGATGAGGCCCATGTAGCACGTCGCCCGCACGTTCTCCGGGTTCGGCGCCACGCTCTCCTGCTGGATCGTGCCCAAGATGTCCATGGACTCCACGGCCTGGAGGCGCCGGTCGACGCGCGCGACGCTGCCGCCCAGCGCCCGGAGCTGCGCCGGCAGCGCGATGGGCAGGCCGCCCACCACGACGGCGGCGGCGCCCAGGGCCGCCGCGGCGCGCGCGCCGACAACGACCATGCGACGGCCGAGGGGCAGCGCCTCGAGTGAGCGGCACTTTCAGTGCACATTGAGGCCTTGTGGCAATCGAGCTCGAGCCGGGGCCGGCGTTCGCTCGGCGCCTCGTGCACCACCACCACCGCCTCGCGCACCTTCGCGCGCTGCAACAATATCACTGATGGACGAGTCGCAGCTGCGGCGCGCCGCGCCGACGGCCGTCGCGTCGTCGAAGACGCGCCTGGGCAAGCGCCTGCGCTGGACGAAGATGCGCTACGGCTACGAGGTCGCCATCGGGCCGAACACGCACCGCGTCGACGTGACCGTGAGCCTCGTCTCCGGGAAGCGGTCGCTCGTCATCGACGGCGAGACCGTCGACGCCTTCAAGAGCCGCCACTCCACCACCGTCCCGGGCGCGCACAACCTCGACGTCCGCGTCAAGGGCGCGTTCTCCCGCGCCAAGCTCGTCGTCGACGGCACGAAGTTCAAGGCCCTCGCCGCCGGCGCCGCGCGGCAACCGGAGACGGCGCCGGCGGCCGCGGCCGTCGCGCCGCTCGCGCTCGCCGGCCGCGGCCGCCTCCTCGCGGACGCCGCGGGCAGGACCCGCGTCGCCGAGGCCGCGCCGGCGACGCACCGCGAACGGACGCTCGCGCTCGTCCACGCCGCCTCGAGCGACGGCTACGACCTCGGCCGCGCCCTCGACGCCGTGCCCGCGGACGCGGCGGCGGTCGTCGCGGTGGAGGCCGACGACGGCGCGGTCTTCGGGTGCTTCCTGTCGCACGTGCCCCGGAAGCGCGACACGCGGGCGGACCCGACGGCGGCCGTGTTCCGCCTCGGGCCGTCGGGCGGCGCCTGGATTTCCAACGACAAAGCCGCGGACGCCGCGTTCGTCGTCGCCGCGCGGACGGACGCGTTCCTCGGCGTGGGCCTCGAGGCCGCGTCCGCGGGCGCCGCGCTCCGCCTCGACGCGAGCCTCACGGCCGCGTCGTCGGACCCGTCGCCCCTCTTCGGCAGCCCGCGGCTCCACGGCGGCGGCGGCGACGCCGTCGCCGACGTGGAGATCTACGCGCTGCGGCCGCATCGGTAATTTAGAAGCCTCCCTCGGGCCAGAGGAAGCTCGCGAGATGCGCCGCGGCATCGGTGGGAAGGGGCGCGCACTTGGTGACGAGGCCATCGGCCGGCAGGGGCGCGCACTTGGTGACGAGGCCGACGACGACGCGCCGATGCGCGAGGACGAACGCGGGCCAGCCGCCCGCCTTTTCGACCGCGGCAATCAGATCGAGATTGGCACGGCTCCAGTTGCGGCGGGGTCCTTTACGATCTTGACGTGCCATATCGATGTCAGCGCCCGCTCGGAGTAAAAGTTTGACCAGCCTGGGAGTCCTTTCCATGGCCAGAGAGAATGGCGTGTACCCGATCCCGCAACGTTCATTGACGCGTGCGCCTGCTTGGATCAGCATCTGGACACACGCCGCACTTTCTTTTTTTTTCAGCGTACACGCCTCATGCAGTGGAGCATCACCCCACCCGCAAGCATTTATCTTCGACGAGTTCGGGTCGGCGCCCACGTCGAGCAAGCGACGGACAAGAAACTTGTCAGCTTTGAGCGCCGCGCAATGAAGCGGCGTTAGCCCCCGATAGTCAGCGATGTTGGGGTCGGCTCCGTTCTCCAACAAGAGTTCTATCGCTTCGGCGTGGCGCTCTTCTGGGACGCCATGACGCTCGTCTCCTTTCCATTTCACCGCTTCCTGCAAAGCGGTTCCTTCAATATGTTGGCGCACGATCACATCGACCCCACTCTCAATGAGCGCCCGTAGCGATTCGACATCGCCGATATGGGCGGCCCGAAATAAGCGCTCTGCGTCGTTCTCCATCGCCTCCTCCACACATTACTAAGAAATTGACCAAAAAAACAAGCAATTTCGAGCAAATTTAGGCCATTTTCGTGAGAATAATGACCTCAAAACGTGAAATGCATTTTTTTCATACATTTGCACGAGAAAACACGTTTGCTGAAAGATGATGAGTTTCGTCAAAAACTGTCACACCAAAACTATCGAACGCACTCTTTTCAAAGTCCTTCACGTAAAAAAACCTTCTCCATTATTTTGCCTTGGGTAATTTTTCAGCGATTGCCGCCCCCGTGTCTCGGGCCGAGAGCGCCCCGAGGCTTGGGTCGCCACACCACACCCCTGGAAGCCGGCAACTGTTTTTTATTTCTTCTTCGGGTCCTCCTCCGCCTCCTCCTCGTCGATGACGAAGGTGGCCTGGAAGGCGAGGTAGCCGCGGAGGGCCTTGGCGAGCGCGTGGCGGTTGACGTCGGAGTGGAGCTTGCCGTCGTAGTCCGCGGCGGCGGCGCGCGCGACGCGGGACGTGATGGCCTTGACGAAGTTGCGCGCGGCGTCCGGGTCGATGGTCGCGAGCGTCGGGAGCTTGGTCACGATCGCGGCCTTGTGGGGCGCGTCGGAGCCGTCGACGAAGGCCTCGATGGTGATCTCGACGTTCTCGCCCTTGGTGGCGGCCTCGATGGTGAGGGACGTCGTCGCGCAGGCGCGGCCCTCGCGGTCGACGAGCTGGAGGTGGTCGCGCTTCACCGCGAGGCGGATCTCCGGCAGCTCGCGGTCGAGCGCGTCCGCGTCGCTCACCTTGTCCGGGGGCTTGATGGGGAAGCGCCCCGGCCGGAAGACGTAGGTGCCGTCGGACGCGTCGAGGTCCGGCGGCTCCACGGTGAAGCCGTCGGACGACTCGGCCGCGTCGGCGGGCTTCTCCGTCTTCGCGAGGAGCGTGCTCCGCTCGCGCGCGCGGTCCTCGCGGTCCTTGGCGCCGCTCATCTTGAAGGTCGACCGCTTGCCGCCGGGCGACCGCGGCGCGCCGGACCCGCCGCCGGCGTCGAGGGGGCCGCCGCGGCGCTGGGACTTGCCGCCGCGCGCGGCCGCGTCGCGCGGCGCGGACCGCGCGGTGGGCTGGCGCGGCGCGCCGCCGCCGTAGGAGCCCGCGGACGAGCAGTTCGAGGAGCCGAGGCTCGCGTCGTCGAGCTGGGACTGGGCCGTGCCCGCCGTCGCGGAGTCGCCGTCGCCGCCGGACCGCCCGGACCGGCGGTAGCCCGCGAGCTTCTGGCTCGACCGCCGGCTCGCGCGGCGCACGGCCTCGGCGCAGCGCGAGTCCTCCTCGGCGGACGCGCGCGCGGAAGCCTCCGCCGCCGACGCCTCCGTGGCGCTGTACTCGGACCGGAGCTGCGAGAGCGTCTCGAGCGCCTTCCGCTCCTCCTCGTCGTCGTTGCGGTGGTAGGGCACCTTGACGAGGCGCTTCATGATGGTCTCCTGGTGGCTCCGGTCCTTGGCCCAGACCTTGGTCTGGTACGTGGGCTTGGCCGCGTGGATGCGGTCGAGGATCGCCGCGTTCTCGCTGTCGATGCGCTGGAGGTGCCGCTTCCGCCCGATGGAGTTGAGCGACTTGGAGAGCTGGAAGGGCCCCGCCGCCGCGCCGAGGCTCGGCGTCGTGATGATGGACGCCATCTTCCGCAGCAGGAGCGTGTTGTCCTTGCGGATCTCCTCGAAGCGGTTCTCCTGGAGCTGCTTCGACTTGAGCTTCACCTTCAGGTGCGTCATGCGCATCGTGCCCGGCTCCGAACCTGCGCGGCGCGCGCGGCGTGAGCATAACGAAGGAGACGGCCGGCGCCGTCCGGCGGCGGTCTCCGCGGGACGGCGCGCCGACATGCGCGCGAAATAGAGCGACGCCGGCGGGAACAGTCGAGGCCCTTCCTGTCGCTCCCGGGCCGCCGCTGCTTGATCTTGCCCAGCGCCTGCTGGTGCGCCGCGTAGAGCCGATCCGACGACGAGAGCTGCGCCGAAGGCATGGCTGCCGGCGCGGGCCCCGCGCCGCGGCGCGCGCTCTCTGGGGGCTGGGGTGGAGTGCGCTCTAGCTCGCGTTGATGGCGCTCGGTCGGCAGCCCTGGATATGCTCCGTATAGTGCAGTTGTGATTGACGCGATTCGACGCGAAGGCTGCCCGGCCCCGACTCGCGAGTTCTGCCGTCGCGACGTCGCGCGACTCCGGTAAAAAAATGCGCGCCTGTCTCGTCCTCCTCGCGGCCACGCATGCAACGGCCTGCAGCAACGCGGCCATGGAGGACGCCTTCGGGCTGTCGATCCGCACGGAGGACCTGGGCGACGTCGACTACGAGTTCGTGCTCGTGACGCAGCCGCGCGGGCGCGCCACGGTCGACGGCGAAAAGAGCAAGTACGGCTTCGTGGGCTTCCTCGGGCTAAAGGGCGCCTTCCCCATGGCGCTGAACGCGTCGCAGGGGCTCAAGGCGGGCATGAACGAGGCGGGGCTGAGCTGCGACAAGCAGACGCTGAAGCCGGAGACGCGCTTCGCGCCGGCGGGGACGGCCCGCGACCTCGACGCGGCGCTGCTCTGCCGCTGGGCGCTCGAGTCCTTCGGCTCCGTCGCCGAGGTCGAGGCCGCGATCCCCACGGTGAACGTCGTCGTCGCGAAGCACGACCCGGAGTTCCTCGACGGCCACTACGCGTTCCACGACCGCGACGGCCGCGGCGCCGTCGTCGAGTTCGTCGCCGGGGCCGCGAACGTCTACCGCGACGACAACGACGGCGAAAATAGCTTCGGCATCATGACGAACGAGCCCGAATGGCCCTGGCAGGTCCAGAACGTCAAACACGCCCAGTGGAAGCTCGGGCGCAAGGACACGCCGGCGCTGTCGATCCCCGGCGATTTTTACCCGGACGCGCGCTTCCTGCGGCTCTGGCTCCACAAGTCGACGATGGTGCCGCGCGCGACGACGTACCGCCAGGCCGTCGCCGACGCCGTCGCCGTGCTCAACACGGTCACAGTGCCCCGCGGATTTCAACCAGGCAAGGACGCGACGCGCGGCCGGACGCACTGGGGCGTCGTCTGGGATCACAAGAACAAAGTCGTCTACTGGCGGAGCGAGTCGAACATGCAGCTCCAGCGCCTGCGCTTGGAGGACGCGGACCTCGGCGTCGGCGGCGCGCGGCGCCACGTGCCCGTCGAAAGCGCGAAGCTCCCCTTCTTCGCGGACGCTTCCGCGCAGCTCCTCGCGTAACTCTTCAAGTTAGACGACGCCCGCGCTCGCTAGACCGCGCCCTTGAGCGTCTCCCTCACGGAGGACGATGTTGGAGAGCATGCTCGGCTCCTGGCCGAAGAAGTACTTTTCGCCGCCGCTGAGCATCTTCGCGGACCGGTCCATCTTCGCGAGGTCGACGGCGACTTCCGACGACGCGATGAGGTCCGCGGCCTGCTTGGCGCCCTCGGCGCGCGTGCGCTCGGCCTCGGCGTCGGCGCGCGCGTGGACGAGCTTCGCGTTGGCCTCGCCCTCGGCCGCGATCTTGCAGCGCGACGCCTCGGCCTCGGCGGCGATGGAGATCGCGCGGGCCTGGCCGCGCGCCGCGGTCTCGGCCTGGAGCGCCTCCGCGGACGCGACGGCGCCCGACGCGAGCGCGCGCGTGAGCGCCTGGTCGCAGGGCGTCGCGGAGATGATGTTGATGGACATGATCTCGACGCCGTAGGTCCGCGTGACCTTGTTCGCGTGCTCGACGGCCGACGACATCTTCTCCTCGTCGTACAAAGGGTTGTCGTTGAAGGCCGGCGGCGTCTCCTCGTCAGCGACGGGCACCGCCTCGGCGAGGGGCGGCGCCTCGCGCGACGCCTGGGCCGCGGCGGCGACGTGGAAGCTGTTCGAGTAGTTCACCGACCCGATGAAGCCCGCCAGCGACGCGATGGCCTGCTTGAGCACGTCGCGGCGGAGCTTCGAGATGTCCGCGGAGACCGTGCCCGTGCCGGACGAGTTCATGGTCTCCGCGGCCATCGTCGCGGCGACCCTCACTTCCTTGATGCGCCAGTTCACAGTACTCGTCACGGTCATGTTGATGTTGTCCGCGGACGTCGCCTCGATGCGCTCGAGCTCGTCGGTCTGGATCTTGAGGGTCATGAACTTCTCGAAGCGCCAGTTCTTGTGGCTGAGGAAGTGCGTGAAGCCCCCGTCGAGGATGTGCTGGCGCCCGTTGTTTTGGGTCACCGCCGCGTAGCCCTCGTCGACCGTGACCAAGGTGTAGGGCCCGAAGTGGCAGAGGTGGTCGTCGAGGGGCTTCGATTCGACGAACTCGAGCGACTCGGACGTCCAGACGTGGATGCCCGGCGGCAGGAGCACGGGCTGGCCGTTGTCGCGCGCGTAGCCGAGGTAGCCCTGCTCGACGACGACGATCGTCCGGTTGCCGTGCTGGATGAGGCCGCGCAGGGGCTTCGTGCCGACGCTGCGGATGAAGATGGACTGGATGTTGTGCATGCCCGGCTGGGCGAAGAGGTAGCGGTTCTCGCCGTCCATCAACAGCCCGACGTGGCCCGCGGGCACGAAGAGCTCCATGTGCGTCGCGTGGTAGAGGCAGCAGCCGAGGCCCGGGAGGCAGAAGTAGCCGTGCGCGCAGCGCGCCGCGAGGTTCGACGCCTTGTTTGCGCGGGCAACGACGTCCGTGCCCGTGAATATGTCCTCGACGCTCGAGCGCCGGTACTTGGTCTCGAGCACGTTGGCGTCCTTGAGGGCTTTGTACGCCGGGGTGTCTTCGTAAAACGAGTGATCCTCCTGGTCCGGGGCGTCGCGGGACATCTCCTCGAGGAGCGGGCTCTGCGGATCCATCTTCATCTCCAGCGTGTGTGTGTGTGCGTGTTGTGTGTGCTTTGGGCAGCGTCGGGAGAGCTTTTGGAGAATGCTCGCAGCTTGTGCAGCAAGCCGCGTTTACTAGGAATTCCTAATCCTGCACGTTTCCTTCATTACGGCCATCTTACCCCCGGCCAGAGATTCAAACGCGTGATGGTGCCCAAGTTCTTTGAGTTTTGACGAACGAGAAGGCAATAACACCGCACCATGTCCGCCGGCGACAACTCCTTCGAGCTGTCGTCGGACGAGGAGGACGACATCCTCGGCACGCTGCGCCAGCAGACGGCGGAGAGCCGGAGCTCGGGGGGCCGGAGCTCGACGTCCTACGACCCCTACGGCGCGGACACGAACTCGAGCTCGAGCGCGGCCTTCGGGCGCGCGCCGGGCACGACGTCGACGAGCGGCGACTTCGGCGCCATGCGCGACGCGTTCCGCGAGGCGGGCCTCGAGGACGCCGCGGCGCCGGCGCCGGGCGCGTCGGCCGACGACTCGTTGGTGGTGGACTTCGGCGCGGGCCTGCCGCCGCCGGGCCAGTCCCTGGAGCAGGCCGACCGCGACGACGGCGTCGTCGTGGCGTCGCGCGACGGCCTCGACGGGACGGCGGAGGTCGAGTTCGGCACGATGCGCGGCGACGGCGCGGTCCCGCGCGCCGCGGCGCCGTCGCCCGGCGGCGAGTCCGCGGGGAGCGGCGGCCCCGCGCGGAGCCGCGAGGGCCCGGGCTTCGGCGTGCCGCAGCCCCTCGCGTCGCCCGCGTCGCCGGAGCAGCCGGGCGGCCTGCCGACGGACGCGACGTCGGTCTACTCGCCGCCCGGCGAGTCCGAGGCCGCGAGCCCGCTCCCCGCGGCGCGCCTCGGCGGCGCGTCGGGCCCGTCGCCGCGCGACGACGTCGTCGCGAGCCCCGCGTGCGCGAAGCTCTCCTACGGCGACATGGACCCCTGGCTCCGGGAGTCGAAGGCCGCCGAGTCGTCGCCGCGCGGCCGCGCGTCGCCGTCCGCGTCCGCCGCGGCCTTCGCGGCGCTGGCGGCGGCGGAGAGCGACGACGACGCGCCGCCGTCGCCGCCCGCGCGGCGGAGCGCCGGCCGGCCCGACTCGGGCGAGCTGCCGCGGCCGCGCGACGAGGCCGAGCGGCTGATCGCGGAGCTCCAACGCGACAACGAGCGCCTGAGCGCGTCCCTCAAGGCCGCCTACGAGCGCGCCGAGGCCCAGGAGCGCGCCGCCGAGGAGGAGAGGGCGACCCTGACCGCGCGGATCCGCGAGGCCGAGACGGAGGCCGAGCCCCGGCGGCGGCGGGCCGGACGCGAGCCGCCTGCGCGCGTCCCTCGCCGTCGCCGCGGAGCGCGACGCCCTCGCCGAGGAGCTCGCGGCCGTCCGGCGCGCCGCGCGCGACGACGCCGCGGAGCTCAAGGCCCGCGTCGCCGCGGCGCAACAGGCCGCGGACGCCGCCGCGGCGCGCGCGGCCGCGCCCCCGGCGGCGGCGCTCCCCGGCGGCGACGGCCGCGCCGAGGCCCTCGAGGCGCAGCTCGCGGCCGCCGGCGAGCGGCTCGCGTGGTTCGCGGAGAACCAGCGCCTCGTCGACGAGCACGTCGACGTCGTCCGGCGCCAGGAGCGCGAGCTCGCGGACCTGCGCCGGGCCGTCGACGGCAAGCTCGCGCCGGGCGACCTGCGGGCGAAGCTCGCGGACGCGGAGCGGCGCGCGGCGGACGCGGAGCGCGCGCTCGAGGCCCGCGAGCCGCCGCCGCGGCTCACGAAGCCGCGGACGTCCGTCGAGGTCGCCAAGGTCGAGCTCGAGGCGCGGTGCGGCGCCCTGGAGAAGGAGCTCGACGCGCAGCGCGACGAGCACGAGCTCCGCGTGCGGTCCCTGCGCCAGGAGTTCGAGAAGCTCCGCGCCGCGCACGACCGGAAGCTGCTCGAGGTCAAGGCCGACCAGCTCCGGCGGTCCCGCGACGCGGGCGCGTCGCGGGAGACGGCGCGGTCGACGGACGTCGCCTTCGGGCGGAGCTCGGGCAAGTCGGAGGACCAGGCGAAGGCGCGGGACCTCCGGGAGGCGCGCGACCGCGTCGCGTACCTCGAGATGGCCCTGGGCGACGTCACGTCGCGCCTGGGCGCCGCGGAGAAGCGCCTCGCCGACGGCGCGGGCCCGGCGTCGCCGCGCCGGTCGTCGCCCCTGCGCCGGTCCGCGCTCACGGCGTCCGTCGACTCCGTGCCGCCGCCGTCCGCGCCGCCGCCGCCGTCGCCGAGCCGCGGCGACGCGCCCATGACGGCCGACGCGCTGCGCATCCGGTCCCTCGAGGTCGAGCTCGAGCGCGAGCGCGAGATCAACCGCGTGCTCGGCGCCGCGCGCGACGCGCCCGAGGAGAAGGCCGAGGCCTTGGAAAAGGACGTCGCGGGCCTCCGCGCGGACCTCGACCGGGCGCACGCGGCCGCGGGCGCGGCGGAGGCGACGCGCCTCGACCTCGAGGCGCGCCTCGCCGCCGCCGACGCCGCCGCGGCGCCGCGCGTCGACCCGGCGGCGCACGCGGCGGAGACCGCGCGGCTCCGGAAGCTCCTGGAGAGCGCGACGCGCGAGCTCGCGGCCGCGCGCGAGACCGCGCGCCTCGCCGCCGACGACGCCGCGCGCCTCGAGCGCCTCGACGCGCTCCGCAAGCCCGAGACGCCCACGAAGGTCGCCGTCGCCGCGCTCGCGGCGCAGGTCGAGGACCTCGAGGCGCGCGCGAAGCGGCGCCAGGACGACGTCGCGCGCTGCGTCCACGACGCCAAGGTCGCCGCGCGCATGGAGCTCGCCCGCGCCGCCGCGCGCCACGCCGAGGAGCTCCACGCCAAGGACAACCAGCTCCAGCGCTTCAAGTTCGAGCTCGACGGGCTCCTCGACGCGCTCAAGGCCGAGATCGCCAACACCGCGGCCGGCAACACGACGAAGCACGACAAGACCGCCCAGGCGTACCGCGCCTACGCGAAAGAGACCGCGGAGTAAGGGTGCGGGAAAGCACGGCTCGTTGACTTCAACTTTAACGCGTTGGGCATCTTGCTTGGGCTGCTGCATTGGACATTCGATGGAGCTTCCTCCTACGGCATGCAAAGTGGCGCCGGTCGAGTCGGCGCCGGTCGAGGCGTTTGTGGTCGGGCAGGTTCTGGAGCCCCAGTCGTTTCCCGTGACGGTGCCGGCCGGCGCGGGGCCGGGGACGCAACTGCATGTGACGGCCCCGAATGGGGTGATGATGGCAGTGCAAGTCCCGGAAGGGGTAACTGCCGGCGGGACCTTTCACGTTGGGATGCCGACGCAGCCTCAAATGGCTTGGGGGGCGCAGAACATGGCGCCGCAGCCGCAAATGATGGCCCATCACATGGCGGGCGCGCAGTACGGCGGGAACCAAGTCGCGCCGATGCCGATGGGGGGAATCGCGCCGGCCCCGCTGGCCGGCGGCGTGCGGATCGTGGGCAGCGGCCGGCTCGTCTATGACCTCGACGTGATCACATGCTGCGGGGGCGGCCGGGGCGTCGACGCCGTCGTCGTGAATGACCTGCCGCCCGAAATACAAGCGGCCGGCGTGTCCTTGGATCAGTGGAGGTCGTGGATGGAGTCGCTGCGCTGGATCCAAAACAACAAACAACCCAAGGGCGGGTTCACCGTCTGGTTATGTTGTATCGCCTGCCCCATCCTCACCGGTTCCTGCTGGCTTGTCCTCTGCCCGCTGTCGAGCGCCGAAATGGGCACGTGTCTGCCCTGCTGCTGGGGCACCTACCACGCCGCGATGCACCAATGGCTCGCGGACGTGAACCAAACGCTCGAGCCCAAGGGCATCAAAGCCCGGTTCCTCAATTACAAGCACCCCGAGGCCATGGCGTATCGGCCGAGAACGCCCGCCTCGTACGGCAGAGCCGCGCAAACCGACCTTATTACGCTCCAATTCGCGTTCGGAGGGCGACCTGGGAACCTAGATAACGTTACTTCTTCCCGCGGGCGGCGTTCTTCTTCGCCGTGTTGGCGCGCTGCTTGGCGAGGATGGACGACCGGTAGGGGTCGTAGTTCGACGGCTTCGACGGCTGGGCGTTCGCCGGGTCGTAGTCCGCGAGGAGCGCCTTGGCCTTGGCCATGAGCTGGGCCTCCTCGTCGGAGACGACGAGGGGCGGCGGCGGCGCCGGCGGCGCGCTCTTCGGCGGCGCCGACGCCGCGCGGGGCAGGGACGCCTCGAGGTCGTCGGTGATCTTCGTGGCCGCCTCGCACATCGCGCGCGCGCGGCGGAGGAGCGGGTCGTCTTTGAGGCAGCGCTGCTCGAAGCGGTCCGCGGCCGGCAGAAAGGCCGCGTAGGGGTTCTCGAAGGCGCTGGGGTCGCGGCGCATGCCGCTCTTGGCGAAGCCGAGGCGGCTCCGCGCGTTCGCGAGGTCGCGGCGCGTCGACACCGCGAGCTGCCGCTCCTCGCGGAGCGCGCGCGCGCGGTCCGCGGCGGCGGCGACGGACTGGTCGCGGCGCTTCGACGCCTCGTCCCGCAAAGCGTCGAGGGCCGCGCCGGCCTGCATGCGCTGGAGCTCCGCGGCGCGGCTGTCGGCGCGCCGCTCCGTCCGCATGTGCTCCGCGGCGGCCTCGCGGCGCTTCCGCGCGGCGACGGCCGCCGCGCGCCGGCGCAGCTCGTCGGGGCTCGTCGCGTCGCCGGCGACGGCGCAGGCGATGGCCGCGTTCATCGCCGCCGCGGCCGTCGCGGCCGCGTCGACGGACGAGCCGCCCGCGCGGACGTGCGCGAGGGCCAGCGACTCGAGGTCGATGCTGTCGAGGGCCGCGGCGACGGAGCTCAGCTTCGACGCGCGCTTGAGCAGCGCCGACTCGGCGCCGCCGGACCGCTCCTTCTGCGGGCTCGCGCACCGCGGGCCCCTCGCGATCGTCGCGGGCCGCTTCTCCCGGGGCGGGCCGGCGATGCGCCGCTTCGGCGCGCCGGGCGGCGTCGCGCTCCAGGGCTCCGGCGCCGGCGCCGCCGGCGCGGCCGCGGCCGGCGCGCCGCGCGCCGCCTTGCCCCGGCCCTTGCCCTCGGCGCTCGCCGGGACGCGGGGCAGCCCGCGGCCGCCGGACGGCGTCGGCGCCCGCACGGGCGACACGGGCCGCGCGCAGAGGGGCTGCATCGACGGGTCCGGCTTCGGCTGGAGCGGGCCGAAGATGTCGTCCAGGTAGCCGCCCATCGTGTCGCGCCGCTGCCCTGGCGGGGAAATAACGAGTATGGCCAAAAAAACGTCAAGTGACCAAAGTTTACCTTCGGGGCAGCCTCCTCCCATGGGATGGTGGGAGATCCGAGCATGGAAATGACAGCGAGACGCAGCGTCGTGGACGAGGACGGGGAGGCGCTCCTCGGCGCGGATGCGGCCACCGACGAGCCCGGGACGCCGCGCGGCGCGACCCGCCGCCGCGCCGGCTGGTGGCCCCGGTGCGCCGGCGCCGTCGTCGCATTGGGCCTGGCGGCCTACGCCGCGGGATCGCGCAACTGGATCGTCGCCGACGAGACCGTCAGCTTCAAGAACGACGGCGAGGCGCACGAGCTGCGCCTGCGCGTGGGCCTCGACGCGGTGTCGTACGCGCACGTCACGCGGAAGCGGTTCAACGTCGTCGGCGAGACGGACGTCGACGCGCGCGCGGCCGCGCTCTGCGGCGACGAGGCCGACGAGAGGAACTACGGCCTCGCGCCGGCGGCGGGCTTCTGCGACGACATCGCCCGCGCGCGGACCGCCGCGCGCGCCGCGGTCCTCGCGCTCGCCGCGGCCGCCGCGGCCGTCGCCGCGGCCGCCGCCGTCGCCGCGACCGCGACCGCGACGACCGCGGCGACCGTCGCGGTCGCGCGGCGGCGCGCGGCGACCGTCGCGCTCGTCGCGGCCCTCGCCGCGACGGTCGCCGCGGAGGCGGCGTGGCAAGCCGCGGGCGCCGCGCGGCGGACGTGCGTGCTCCGCGACGCCGAGACGGCCGCGAAGCTCGTCGACGGCGTCGACGTCGGCACGATGCTGTGCCGGGGCCTGCGCCTCGGCGCGGCGCCCTACGTCCTCGCGCTGGCGCCGGCCGCCGTCGTCGCGCTCGCGGCCTATCCCCAGTAACGGCTTACTCGCGCTCGTCCGTGTTGGGCAGCGCGACGCCGTGCTTGCCGAAGTAGTCCTTGAGGGCCGCCTGGATCTCCTCGTTGGACTTGGCGTCCTTCTTCATCTGGGCCGCGAGGGCCGCGGCGCCCTTGGTGACGGGGTCGCCCTGGATCTGCATGGACTCCGTGAGCCGGCGCGTGATCTCGTCCTGGGGCACGCCCGCGTCGCGCATGCGCTGGACCTCCTCGGCCATCTTGAACTGGGACTCCGTGCGGCAGGCCTGCTTGATGTCGGACTTGATCTGGGGCGCCTTCGCGGCCGCGGGCGGCGGCTTCGGCGGCCGCGGCGCGTCGCCGAGCTTCGACTTGGACGACGGCTTGCCGAAGAAGCCGCCCTTGAGCTTGGACGCGGGCTTGCCCGACGGCGGCGGCGGCTTGGGCTTCTTGGGGATGTCCACGGGGATGTCGCACATCTGGCCCGTCGCCGCGAGCGCGGGCTCGAGGAGCTTCTTGACGCGCTCGCGGATGTAGTCCTCGACCTCGCTCTCCGGGTCGTTGCGCTTGCGCATCTTGGTGACGTTCTCCACGAGCCAGTCGCGCTCCTCCTCGCAGGGCGCGCACGCGCCCGCGATGAACTCGAAGCGGAGCTTCTTCCGCGCGTCGGAGCCGTGCGCGAGCTTCGCGTCGTCCGCGGCCTTGCGCGCGTCCTCCTGGGCCTTTTTGAGCACGTCGCGCTTCTCGGATTTCGCCTCCGCGGCGGCCTCGCGGCAGAGGACGTCGCCGCGGATCTCCTCGAAGGCGAGGTCGAGCGCCTCGTCGTCGAACTCGTGCTGGCGCCGCACGAGGTCGTTGATGAACTCGCGCTCGTCGGGGGCCATGCAGTGCTGGACGCGCTTGATCTCCTCCTCGCGGGCCTTCTCGTAGACCTCGCGGATGCGGACCTTGGACGCGCCCGTGACGTGGAGCGCCTGGAGCGTCGCGCGCGCGAGCGGCGAGATCTTGTTCATCATCTCGTCGATCTGGTTCGAGTCCTTCTCCGCTTCTAAACTTTCGGCGTGGAGCCCGTCGTACATCTCCTTGGCGTCGCGCTCGTTCATCTCCGCGAGGTTGATGTGGTGCGCGCGCTGGTCGCGGCCCGTGCGGTCGGACCGCGCCTCGGCGCGCGTGGTGCGCATCTCCTCCTCGGGGTAGAGCTCCTTGCCCTTGTAGGGCACCTTCTCCGGGGGCGGCGGCTTGGGCTTGGTGATGTCGACGCCCTTCTTCAGCTCGCGGAGCTCGGCCTCGAGGTCCGACTCGCCGGGCTTCCGCTTCGGCCGGACCATGCGCCGCTTCTCCTCCTCCGTGCGCTTCGGCGGCTCGTAGAGGGGCCGCGTGTCGCCGGCGCGGCGCACGTGGGTCACGGGGTAGGGGTGGGGCGCCTTGACGGGCGGGCTCCGGATGTAGTCCGGCTCCTCCTCGCACAAGGACGCGTAGTTGGCCAAAAACCCGCCCCACTCCTTGCGCTGCTTCGACTCGCGCTTCCGCAGGAAGTCGGCGAGCTTGCGCGCCTCGCGGTACTGGCCCTGGCCGCAGTCCGCGTCGGCGCAGACGGCGTTGAGCTGCTTGAACGCGCCCGCGAGGTCCGACTTGCCGTCGCGCGCCTTCGCGAGGCGGAACCGCGCCTTGTTGCGCTGCACGGCCGTGACGCCGTCGGAGCCGAGGACGCGCGTGCAGACGTGCTCCGCGAGGTCCCAGTCCTTGAGCTTGACGGCGGCGGCGGCGATGTTGAGGTGCGCGAGGCGCCGCAGGTCCGTCACGCGCGCGACCAAGGCCCAGTCGTCGTGGTTCGCGGCGTCGTCCAAGTCGAAGTCGACGATGGCGATGGCGTCGACGCCCCGGGGCAGGTCCGGCGACGCGGGCGTGATGGACTTGGGGAACTGGCCCGTCTTCCGGCGCAGGAGCCAGCACGCGCCGAGGTACTCCTTCAGGGCCTTGCCGTTGTCGCCGGCCGCGAACGCGTCGTTGCCGCGCGCCTTGAAGAGGAGGCTGTGCTCGATGCGCCGGTCCAGCGTCAGCAGGCTGAGGCCGCCCCGCGCCTCGTCGGCCTGCTCCTCCATGCGGCAGCCCTGGTCGTACTGCTGGTGCCGGTTCTTGGGCTGCACGCCGTCCTTGCTCTGGATCTTCTCGAGGTTCACGCTCTCGCCGGGCTTCAGGATCTCCGCGCCCGTCTGCTTGCAGATGTCCTCGAGCTCCGACATGAGCTTCGGCGACGGCTTGGGCCCGGGCGGGCCGCCATCGCGGGCGGACCGCCGACTCATCACAGACTTCTGTGTGTGCAAGGGGTAATAAATAGTCTAGATTTATATCCCCTTGGTGTGTGGTGGGCTGGGAGGGAAACGAGATGTTGTTGAACGCTCGAAGCAGCTCATGTTGAGCTGGATCGCGAGCTCCACTTAGTTCGCCGCCAGCCTCGCGGCGCGCTGCGGCACAGCCATGTCGTGGCCGGCAGGATGGTCCCACAGCAAAAGTGCCGACCACATGGCGCAGCCCACGACGCGCCTGCGCCCGATCGAAACGGTGACGCCGGCGTGGTCCGCGCCGACGCACGTCTCGCTGCTGGTGCGACCGCCGGCGCCGCCGGCGCCCGCAGCGCTCCCGGCCGTGCTCGAGGCGCGGCCGCGGTGCACGGCCGACGACGCGCTGGCGCTCTTCGCGAAGCACTGGGATTCGGCGCCGGCGACCGTCGCCGCGCTGCCGTCCTACGACGACCAGAACTGGCTGCTCACGCTCGCGTCGAAGAAGCTCGTGCTGAAGATCGCCGCCGCGGGCGCCGAGTGCCGCGGCGGCGCCACGGAGGCCGAGACTTTGGCGTACCTGCGCTGCGAGCACGCGATGATGGCCGCGGTCGCGGCCGCGGGCGTCGGCTGCCCCCGCGCGGTGCCGTCGAAAACCGGCGACGCCGTCGTGGCCTTTTCGAGCCGGGGCGTGGCCTGCCTCGCGCGCGTCGTCACCTTCGTGCCCGGCACGCCGCTCTCGGAGCTCCGGAAGGAGCCGCCGACGGGCCTCGCGGAGGCGCTCGGCGCCGCGGCCGCGAAAATCGACGGCGCGCTCGCGAAGCTGCCGCCGCGCGCGGACGGCGGCGACGCGGAGACGCGGGACCTCGCCTGGGACCTGGGGAACGCGAGCCGCCTCGGCCGGCCCTACCTGCCCGAGCTGACCGACGCCACGTTGAGGAAACGCGTCGAAGCCGCGCTCGACGCGTTCGACGCGCTGACGGCGTCGCCCGCCTTCGAAACTTTGCCGCGCCAGCTCATCCACGGCGACATCAACGACGAGAACGTGCACTGCGAGTTCGACGCGGTCCGCGACCGGGCCTGGGCCGTCGCCGTGCTCGACTTCGGCGACTTCGCGCGGACGTGCCGCGTCTTCGAGCTCGCGATCCTTCTGGCCTACGCCCTGTTCGACGGCGGCGGCGACGCCGTCGACGGCGAGGCGGCGGTCCTCGACCGCGCGGCGCGCCTCGTCGGCGCCTACCACGCGGCGACCCCGCTGGCGGAGGCCGAGGTCGCCGCGCTGCCCGTCCTCGTCGCGACGCGGAACGCGCAGACGGTGCTGAACTCGGCGCACGCGTACGCGGCGAACCCGGACCCCTACGTCCTCGTCTCCGCCCAGCCCGCGACGCGCCTCCTCGGCCAGTTCGCCAAGCTGGGGGACGGTGCGATCGTTCTCGCTTTGAAGCGCGCGTGCGGCTTCGGCGCGAAGGCGGCCGCGCCGGCGGCGCCGGCGCACGTCGACGCGCCGAAGAAGCGCAAGGACAAGGACGCCGAGGCCCAGGACATGTGCGCGGGCTGCTGCCTGCTGTAGGAGCGGGCGCGCGTAATAGTATCCGGCGCGAGAGCACGGAGACCTGCCGCACTTCCTGCCGCCGCGGCGGATGGCTACACTGTACGCGTGCGACGGCGACGGCGGCGCGCAATTTACCCCCGGCGACGGGGGCGCCCTGCTTGCCCGATCTCTAGCTCCAACACGATGCGATTAGCCGGCGTAAACAGGGCGTGTGGGCGTGTTCGGGGGTTAGCGCGTGTCGTGAGAGCGTGGTCGAATGACCGCTGACGGCTGCGGCTTCGGCGACCCGAAAATCTCGAACATCCGCGCGCTGCGCGCCGCTTTTTGCGCCGATTTTCACCGCTGGCTCCGTTCTTAGGCGCGCCGTCCTTTCGCTCCTCGCCCTCGCGCCCATCGCGGCCTTTGTGGCCAAGGCGCCGCTCGTGCGCGCCCGCGTCGCACCAGGAAGCACGTTTCGCGCCGCGCGCGCGCGCGTCCGCCCGAAGCGCCCGCGGACGCGTCCCGAATCGCCTCGTCTCGCGCGCGCGCGACGCCACGCAAGCGCCCGACCCTACGCGACGCCGCGCACACGCCCGACCCTCACTCCCCCGCAGGCGTCGGCGCCCGCGCGCCAGAGCTCCCGAACGGTCGTGTCGTACTTCGACCCCCTGCAGCTGAGCAAGGGCAAGAGCGAGGCGGACATGAACCAGCTCCGGGAGTACGAGCTCAAGCACGGCCGCGTCGCCATGGCCGCGGTCTTCGGCATCATCGTCGAGCCGCGCTTCCACCCCCTCGCGGACTCGTGCCACGTCGCGCACCCGACGGACCCGATCCTCGCGGGCGTCGAGCTCAACTTCGCGGGCAAGGCGCAGATCCTCGGCTTCTGCGCGGGCGTCGAGGCGCTCACGTACTACATTAAAAAGGGCGACAACTACAAGCCCGGCGACCTCCTCGGCGCCGCCTACTACGTCGCCGACGAGGAGGACGAGCTCTGGATCAACTACCAGGAGAAGGAGCTCAACAACGGCCGCCTCGCGATGATGGCCTTCGCCGGCTTCGTCACGCAGTACCTCCTCTACGGCAACACGGACGACATGCTCTTCAAGCCCATGGTGAAGGCGTCCGAGGACCTCACGTGCTACGGCCTCATCTGCACGTAGGGGACCGCCGCCGCGCCGCCCCGACTCCCCCTCCGTCGTAACGCCCCTTTGCGTCGAAGCTTACCCCTTGGGCGGCGCCGCCTCGACGTCCTTCTCGGGCGCGGGGCCCCTGGGGAGCTTCGTGGCGATGGTCATGTAGGTGTAGGTCGTGCAGAGGACGACGACGACGCCGAGCCACGTCACGGGCGTCGTCTTGAGGCCGAAGAGGACGGACGACAGGAGCACGAGGAGCGCCATCGTCGCCGACCCGGCGAAGTTCTTGACGATGGCGTCCGCGAACCTGCGGGAGCGGCGGGGTACGCGGAGGAAACAAAGCGGGAGACGCGAACCGCGCGAGGAATAAAAAAGCGGCGCCGGCGCCGCGCTTGAGCACCCAGGCGACGGCGAGGCCCTGGAAGGCTTGGAAGCAGATGAGGACGACGGGCAACAGGGAATAGCCCGTGAGGAAGCCGACGCGCGTGGACCCGTCGGCCGGCGGCACCGCGTACGCCGCCAGAGCGAGCAGGCACCCGAAGAAGTAGAGGACGCTGTTCTGGAGGTTCACGGGCGTGCCGAAGCCCTTGATGACCTTCTGGTTCCAGACGCCGCAGGTCGACGTGATGCAGGCGCTGAAGGCGATGAGCGCGTACGTCGACAACGGTAGCAAACTGGCGCTCGCGCACGGGTCGTACTGCGTCGACGCGATGCCGCAGCACTGGATGACGATGCAGAGCCACTGGAGCTCGTGGAGCCGGTCGCCACTGAGGCGCAGCAGCACGGCGACGAGGTAGGGCGTCACGGACTTGCCGAGCGTGTACGTGCCCGGGTCGGCGACGAGGTGCACGTGGAACGTGATGTAGTTGTTCGTCGTGTAGAGCAGCGCGAGGCCCGCGTAGTTGAGCACGATGCGCGCGTCGAGGCCCTCGAAGAGCTTCGCCCCGTCGACGGCGCGGTAGTGGAGGCCCGACGCCATGGCGAGCTTCGCGAACTCCGTGATGGCGATGGACGACGCCGGGCTGAACGTGTACGCGCCCTCCTCCTGGCACAGCTTGAACAGCAGGATCGCCGTCGTCTGCATGAAGACGAGCACGAAGAAGGCGCCCGTCGCCTGGGCGCTGAGGCCCGCCATGGTGGGCTGCCCGCCGCGACGGTCAGCACGTTTGGCGGCCAGCAAGCAAACTGGGGCTGCGTCTGAGCAGCGACAAGGCTTCAAGTTGTGTTCATTGAACTGAATTACGGCGTCGCCGGGGTGCGCGCGTCCATCTGCATCCACGCGTGGTCCTCTTCCCTCGGCGTCCGCGGCGGCGTCCCCGACGGCGAAGCCTCCGGCGTCCCCGGCGGCGACGGCGGCGGCGCGTCGTCGCGCGCGCCGCCGAGCGCGTCGGCGAGGGCCGCCTCGCCCGCGCGCGCCTCGCGCCGCGCGCGCTTCGCGCGGAAGATCTCCTGGAGCGTGACGGCGGCGTTCATCGTGTGCGTGAGGTCGAGCTCCGGGAGGTCGTGGCGGAACGAGTGCGTCCGCATCTTGTTCCGGAGGCCCGCGTCCATGCACCGGAGGAGCATGATGTTCAGCTCCATGGTCGAGTCGTCGCGGATGGAGCTCAGGTCCACCTCCCGGCCGTTGTGGATCGCGGCCATGAGCACGTCGAGGTAGAAGAGGTCCTGCGTCTCGTTGACCTTGATGCGCATCGACCGCACGAACTCGATGAGGAACCGCTGCTGCGCGTCCAAGCGGTAGTCGCCGCTGGGCCGCAGGTCCCGGGCGGAGGCGTCCTCGGGCGACGGCGGCGCGGAGAGTGGCGTCGACGGCGTCGGCGGCGACGCGCCGCCGGCCGTCGACGCCGAGCCGGCGAACGACGGCGCGTCGCCGAGCGAGAAGTGGCGGCTCCGGCGCCTCCTCGCCGGGTCGTCGGGCGCGGGGAGCCCCAGGGGCGGCGGCAGGTCCTGCAAAAAAGCGACGATGCGGTAGGACGGGATGAACATCGTGTTCTCCGGGTCGTGGGCCATCCACGTGTCCTTGAACGCCGCCACCTGGCTCCGGAGCTCGCCCCGCTGCTTCTCGACCTCGCTGTCGGCGTTCATGAACTCCGCGAAGGCCTCGAGGATCACGGCGACGCACAAATTCAGCATCATGAAGTTGCCCAGGATCACGAACGTCGCGAAGAACGGGTACGCGGACACGCGGTTCCCGTCGTCGACGATCTCCTGCATGACCTTGTGCCAGTCCTCGCCCGTGAGGCACCGGAACAGGGTCAGCATGGCGTACCCGAAGGTCTGGAAGTTGTTGTACTTCGTGATGTTCTCTCCCGACACCTCCACGTCGTAGTAGAGGTTCGCGCCGATGCACGCGTAGACGAAGATGAGCAGCACGAGCAGCGAGCCGACGTTGAAGAGCGACGGCAGGGACACGATCAGAGACTGGAGCAGCGTCTTGAGGCCCGGGTTCACGTTGACGAGCTTGACGACGCGCGCGAGCCGGAAGATGCGGAAGAGGGACAGGTTCATCGCGTTGAGGAGCGGGATGTGGTAGAAGGTGGCCATGAACTCGGACGCGTTGTCGACGAGCGACGTGAGCACGATGAAGGCGTCGAAGCGGTTCCAGGGGTCCGCGAAGTACTGCCGCGGCCCCAGGCCGACCCACTTGAGCACGAGCTCCAGCAGGAAGACGACCGTGAAGAAGAGGTTCAGCCCCAGGTCCGCGTCGTCCCAGGCCTTGGCCTGGTCGTAGTGGTTCAGGGAGATGGCGCCCATGTTCAGCACGATGGCGGCGATGACCGCGAGCTCGAAGCCCTCGGAGACGACGACGTAGAAGACGGCCCTCCGGCAGTCGCCGCGCGGCACGCGCAGCCGCTTCGGCCGGCCCGCGTCGAGGAGCACCTTGACGCGGTCCACGAAGCCGCGCTGCTGCTCCGTGAGGAAGATGGACGCGCCGTCCGTGCGCTCCTTGGCCATCTGGAACTTGTGGACGACGACGCCGACGAAGATGTTCATGACGAAGAAGGACCCCATGACCACGAAGATCACGTAGAACAAGGCGTGGGCCGGCGTCGCGTTGCGCTGCGGGTGCGCGTGCCGGTCCTCCGTGACGTCCATGGCCGCGTACATGAGGGCCGGCCAGCCCTCGAGCGTCGCGACCTCGAAGAGCGCGAGCAGCGCCTCGCCCAGATTGTCGTAGTGGGGCTGCGTGCTCCGCCACTCCGCGAGCAGCGGCGAGCTCGCGTTCCAGTTCCCCTCGAGCTTGTCCGCGTCGAAGCGGCTCCAGGGCAGGCCCCCGTCCGCGGACGACCGGCCGCGCCAGTAGTCCTTGCACTCGCGCTCGTCGACGAAGTAGCGCCCGAAGTGGACCGCGTACTCGAGGTCGCCGCCCGTGACGTCGTAGTCGCAGGCGATGTCCCAGCGCCGGCAGTCGCTCCGCGACTTCCGCGACACGTGGCACCACTTGAGGAGGCCCCGAAATAAGGTGCCGCCCGCGACCGCGAAGATGCAGAAGAAGCCGACGACGACGAAGGCGACGTTGACGACGTCGGGCACGGCCTCCATCAGCGCGTCGACGACCGTCTTCATCGCCGGGTAGCGCTGGATCATGCGCAGGGGCCGCAGCGCGCGGAGCGCTCGCAGCGCCTTGAGGTAGCCCAGGTTCGCGCCGCCGAGCGACAGCGACACGACGGACACGGCGACGATGAAGGCGTCGAGCACGTTCCAGCCGCTCGCGAGGTAGGGCACGAGGCCCTGGGCGACGACCTTGAGCAGCAGCTCCACGCAGAAGCAGGCCGTCAGCGCGACGTCCGCGGCCGCGAGCGCGTCCCGCTTTCCCCGCGACCCGCCGCCGTCCGGGTCCGACGCGGCGAGCACCCCCGACGACACGACGATGAGCACGCCCACGAGCATGTCGAAGGACGGGTGCGTCACGACGTCCACGGCCCTCTTGCGGAGCGCGTTGCGCCGGCTCAGCACGCCCAGCGACCGGCCCCGGAGCGTCCGCGCGCGGAGCGCCGCGCGGTCGCGCACGCTCTGCGTTGCGCGGCGGCTCGCGAGGAGCTCCGGGTCGCCGACGATGTTCAGGCGATGCATGTGGCGCGCGCAGAACCGGTAGAGCTGGTGGTTGTCCCGGAAGGTCATGGCCGCCTGCGCCGCGCGCGACGTCGACGTGACCTCGGCCGCGAGCTGGCGCGTGCACGTCTCCTCGACCTCCTGGAGCTCGAGCCCCCGCAGCGTCGACTCGGACCGCGTGCTCAGGCGCTGCGCCTGGCTCGGCGTCTTCAGCGGCGACGCGCCGCCGTCGCCCGCGGACGCGCTCGTCGCGTACGCGCGGTTCGCCCGCGACGACGGCGAGTTCTTCAGGTCCGCGAGCATGCGCTGGAACTTCGACGTCACGTCGACGTCCGTCGGCGCGATGAGGCGCTCGTCCAACAGCTTCTGCCCGAGGTCCGTGGCGTCCGAGACCGTGCGCGCCGTGCCGCTCTCGAGCGCCCAGTCCACGGCGACGGACCCGGGGAAGCAGTCGTGGTACTCGCGGCGGCCCCGGTGGTGCGTGCCCGTGGGCAGCTCCTCCTGCATCTGTTCCACGATGTCCTCGAGGCGCCCGTCGACCGTGCGCTCCCAGTGGTCGTCGTCGTGTCCGAGGATGCCCGTCGCCTCCAACAGATGCTCGACGCCGAGCTCGAGCGATCGCGCGGACTTTTGCGCGGACGCGAGGGGCCGGTGCGCCGCCGATCGCACGCGCCCGCAGCAGGCCAGGGCCGCGTCCGTGACGCGGCTCGACCCGCCCCTCGACGACGACGGCGACCCGGAGCCCTTGGGGCTCGGCCCGCCCGCGCCCGCGCCGGAGCCGAAGCCGCAGCCCGCGGCGCCGAAGACGCGGACGCAGAGCTTCGAGTTCGCCGCCCGCAGCTGCGCCGTGATGAGCAACCGCTTCGCCCAGTGCGCCACCGTCTTGAGCAGCACTAAAATCTCGTTGGACTGCTCGAGCTCGTCGTAGAGCGTCGCGTTCGTCGAGTCGACGGCCATCTCGAAGTTCGAGAGGAGGATCGCGAGGAAGATGTTCAGCACGATGAAGTTGCCCACGAGGTACATGGACACGATGAAGAGCAGCCCCACGTAGCCGTTGGCGCGGAAGGCGTAGTCGAGGACCGTGTCCCAGTTCTCGCCCGACACGACGATGAACACCGTGAGCAGCGCCGAGTCGATGGAGTCGAAGTTCATGCGCGGCCGCGACCCCGCGAGGCCGTACCCGCTAAGCTCGCCCGCGTACATCTGCATGCCCGCCAGCGCGTAGACCCAGGAGAACATCATGAGCAGGCACGAGAAGTTCACGAGGCCCGGGCCCGACCGGAGCACCGCGCTCAAAATGTGCGCCATGGACTTCCAGTTCCGCACCATGCGCAGCGACCGGAAGATGCGCACGAGGCGCAGCACGCGGCCGATTTTGAGGACCTGGAACGTGCCCGAGCTCGAGTCCTGGTCGTCGTCGTCCGCGTCGCCGCCGCCCCGGCGGCAGTCGCCACCGCCCGTCGCGTGCGCGACGACGAGGTCCGCGATGGACCCGAGCGTGATGACGCAGTCGAACAAATTGAAGCGCCCGTCGGCCTCGTCGAAGACGTAGGCCGTGCCGAGCATCTTGACGACCATCTCCCAGACGAAGATCCACGTGAGCCAGTCGTTCGCGGCGCAGTTGAAACGCCGGTGCGCGTCCGACTGGCCCTCGTACTCCGCCATGAGGATGATGGTGTTGAAGACGATGCAGAGCATGATGAAGTGGGAGAAGGCCGTCGTCGTCGCCACGTAGCAGCACACGTCCCGCAGGCGCCACCACGCCGCGGTCGCGCGCCGCCGCGCGGCCGTCGCGGGCCCGTACGCGGCCAGGTCCTCGCTCCGGTCCGGCAGTAGGACGTCGTACAAGTTCAGCGCGAGGCTCGCCGACGGCGGCCGCTTCCGCCAGGCGTGGGCGTCGATGGAGTCCGCGCCGCCGGCGTCCTCGGGCGGCTCGAGGACGAAGTGCGCCTTCGTCTCGTGGATCGCCGCCGTCTCCGCGCCGGCCTCCTCGGTGACGTAGGCCTGGTAGATGACGGCCACGATGAGGTTCACGACGAAGAAGGCGCCGACGAGGACGAGGAGCACGAAGTAGACGACGACGGCGGGCCCGAGCGCGTCCATGAGCGCGTAGAGCGTACTCGACCAGCCCTCGAGGCTCACGGTCGTCAGCACCGTCGCGAAGCCGAGGAGGATGTTGTCGAAGCTGATGTAGCGGTTCAGCGTCGTGTCCCGGTCGTTGGGCCTCCCGTCGTAGTCGCGGTCCCGGCAGGCCTGGCCGTCGCCGCACGCGTTGCCGCCGAGCGCGCCCGTCTCCTCGGAGCAGACGCCCTCGGACGACACGAGCGTCTCCGACGCCTCGTCGAAGCAGTGCTGGCGCAGCTTGCCCATGAAGAGCTGGACGCCGATGGCGCCGAAGACGAAGAAGATGAAGAGGAGCACCTCCATGACCTGGATGAGGAGCGGCGTCGACTTGACGAGCGAGAGCACGAGGCACCGCATGCCGGGCATGCGCTGCACGGTCTTGAGCACCTTGACGACGCGCACGACGCGCAGGAACGTGAGGTTGGGCCCGCCGCCCTCCTCCACGGCGAAGCAGGACCCGTCGAGGGACGCCGCGCAGTAGGCCGTCTCGATCGCGAGCGGGAGCCAGCCGCAGACGACGGTGACGAAGTCGAAGCGGTTCCAGGGGTCCCGGAAGTAGGCCGACTCGCCCGACGCGACGCCCGTCGCCACCATCTTCAGCGCCATCTCGCACGTGAAGGCGACGTTGAAGACGATCTCGCTCACCGTCGTCAGCGCCGTCTCGGCCTCGCGAGGGTCCTGCGCGGCCATGATGAGCGAGTTCACGAGAATGAGGACGAGCACGGCCCGGTCGAAGAGCGGGTGGCGCACGGTGCGCAGGCACCAGAGGCGCACAGCGCTGTCCCGCCCGACGCAGCAGCACGCGAGCTCCGCGACGTCGTCGAGGTCCGACGCCGCCGCGCGCTCCTCCGCGCCCCGGCGCTCCTGGTGCGACGCCGCGCGCCACCACTCCAGCGCCGCGCCGTCGAGGGCCATGGCCGCGGGCGGCGCCGCCGCGGCGGCGGCGGCGTCGTCGCGGCGCTCGAGCCGCGCGACGCGCTCGCCGAGGTCCAGGTCCCACGGCTCCGCGTCCAGGAACGTCGGCACGTGGCGCCGCCGCACGACCGGCGGCCGCGGGTCGCCGCCGCGGTGCCGCCCGAGGTTCGACGCCGGCGTCGCGTCGCCCGCGGGCGCGCCCTCCTTCTCGTCCTCGAGCGCGCTCGCCGCGTCGAAGGACACGGACAGCCGGGGCAGCCTCGCGCTGTCCAGCGTCGGCTCTTCGCTGAAGCCCTCCGGCAGCGGCGCCGGCGACGACGAACGCTGCTCGCTGAACCGTCCATCGCCGCCCGGACCGTCCATGGCGCGGGCAGCCTACGAGCAAGCTCTTGCTCGTCTCGCCATCATGCCTCAATTATTGCCCAATTCAAGGAGACCTTCAACACTTAATCGTTGAGGTGATTATTCGGGATTTAAATAGCGTCGGATTTAGGCTGGTCGGGGACACACGGAATCTTCCCAGTACTTCATGAGCCCTGGGTGGCTTTTTCTGAATGCATCGGCTTCGCCAGCGGCTTCGATCTCGCCAAGAAGAATCGTGGCAGCGGACAGATGATATCCGTCTTTGTCTTGAATACAATCGAAATTCCCGCACTCCCTGAAATGCAACGTTGTCAGGCTAGGCGAGCGCTTCATGAGAGCAACGGCGGCGGATGCCGTGACGCAGAAGTTATCTTGTAGCGCAAAAAACTCGAGGCGCGACAACGCCGCAAGGCCCGCGTCGGTGATACCCAGCGCTCTCAGATCGAGCCTGCGCAGAAGAGAGCATCGTTGTCCGATTGCAATAAGCCCAGCGTCCGTGATCTTGAGTTGGCAGTTGGTACTCTTGAACTCTCGCAGGTCGATGCAGCAGCGAGCGAGGGCCATGAATGACCTAAATGGGCGCGCGCTCCAGAATAGAAAAGAGACGCTCGGTTCGTCGCACGCTGGAAGAAACTCGTCGGTGATGTGTTCAGACCCGATTTCCAACTCCAGAGTCTGCAGACGTGGGCAACCGGAAGCGAGCGCGACGACGGACTCGTCACGGATGGCGCTCGGATCCGGGGAGCGTCTCCGAACCTCTAGACTTTTCAGCATAGGACAGCTGCGCGCAATCGCCATGACGCCCACATCGGAGATGGAATAGCATGCGAGGAACAAGTCGATTAGATTGCAGTTGCGTGCCACGAGTAGCGCAATTGACTCATCCGTGACATACCGTGTGGACAATCTCAGCGTCTCGAGGCGAGTGCACTGAGCGAGTGCCCGGACTGCCGCTTCGGAGCGTAATGAATGGAGACTGAGCGTCTTCAAATTGGGACAGTTTGCTCCAATCGCCGCGCCGCATTCTTCCGCCCGTCTAAAATGGGGTGTTAGTTCCAATGACTCCAGATCGCAATGCTCGGCAACGTAGATGATGGCTCGATCAGTGATGCCACCGCAAGCCAGATAGAGTGATTTTAAATGAGAGCATCGACTCGCGACCTCTATGAGCGTGTCGTCGGTCAGGTCATCGCTTATGAGTCTCAAGGTGCGCAAGCGGGGGCACCGTCGCGCGGCTGCGACGACGCATTCATCAAACGAAGGTTCCTCTTTCCAGTTCGGCGGCGGCTCCCACGTCGTTTCGCCCGTGTCACCGTCATGGTAGAAGTAGACGCCCGTCGGCGCGAGATGCCGTGTGACGACGCTGGTCTTGCGTATACTGCCGTCGTCGACTCGTCGTCGGACTCGGAGTCGTTTCCGCCGGTCATGGATCGCATTATCATCGAGTGTGAGCTTTTCCAAGTCCTGCGATAACGCGGCGATTCCGGTAGCAGTGATGCTGCACTCATAGATGTTGAGCTCGCGGAGCTTCGAGAGATGCGCCAATTCGACGACGGCCGCGTCGGTGACGAGATCATGTCCGAAGAGGTCCAGCGAACGCAGACCAGGAAATCGTCGCACAATAGCCGCCACATCCTTGTCAGCGAGTTTGGACTCGACACCGCTGCCATAAGCCTCGTCGTATTGGCTCGCGTCCAACTCGTCGAGGTTCGCTTCCACCTCTCGCAGGGAACGAGACGTACTCCGGGCGAGGCGGAAGAACTCGATGGTGGTGAGCCACTTGGACATGGTACATATGAGGCTGCTCTCGAACACGCAGCGGCGCGCCCGGCCCGCCTGCGCTGCGAAGACCTGGGCCATTGCTGCCCGGCCAGCCCGTCCCAGCAGCAGCAGGCCGCGGAGTGCTTGCAATTGCCGTTCAAGATCATCGGCGTTGAAGCGAAAAAGAGCCTCGGCTGAACTCGTGGGCGCATTAGAGCTAGGCGCCGTGACCGGACGAGAGGTGCCGCGCTGGGTCGTGGTTGGGGTGGGACAAGTGGGGTGGGGGGCGGGCGGGGAAACGACGGCGGCGGCGGGGCGGCCTAGGCCGCCCGTAGCGCGGCGACGAGCTTGCGGAGGTGGGCGAGGGCCTCTGGGGAGGCGTGGGGCGACCGCGCGCCGTGCTCGCGCGGCGCGACGGAGTACTCGGCGAGGCCGTGGAGGGAGGCGTCGGAGACGAGGGCGAGGAGCGCGGCCGTGTCCGTCGCCTCGAGCGCGGCGGGCTCGGACGTGTCGAAGAGCGAGGGGTGCTTCTCTCGCTCCTCCTCCTCCTCGATATCCGCCTCCGCGTCCTTGATGGCCTTGCGCAGGCGCGTGCTCTCCTCGCGGCCGCCCGCGAAGCAGCGCTTCAGGCGCTGCCAGCAGCCCCAGACCCGGAAGTGGTGCGCGAAGAGCGACAGCGCGACGTTCGAGTCCAAGAGCTCGAGGAACTCGTCGGAGTTGAGCGCGTGGAGCTGGGTCACGGCCGTCGCGTGGGCGCTGTAGTGGCGGAGCTTCTTCTGGCGGTCGCCGCAGGCGAGCATGGCGATGTCGTCGCCGAAGAACTCGTTGTCCTGCTTGAGGCAGATGCCGTAGGCCTTCTGCGTGTCGTAGTTCAAGAGGCAGATCTTCCCCGACTCGATGACGTACATGACGTCGTTCTGGTCCAGGTCCTGGTGGATGACCTTGTCGAAGGTCATGAAGAGCTGCGTCGTGAAGAGGTGGGCGACCTTGGCGACGAAGAGGTCGCGCTGGAAGTTGAGCTTGTAGAGCGTGAGCTTCGTCTCGCGGTCCTGCATCTGCATGATGCGCGTGAACTTGACGTTCTGCTCGCTCGTGCCGTCGGCGTAGGCGACGTCGTAGCGGAGCAGCGCCGGCAGCCCCGTCACGACGCCCTCCTTGATGACCGGCGGCGGCGGGTCGTCGTCGGGCCTCGCGCCCTCGGGTTCCGGCGCGGGGCAGCTCACGTAGACCTTGGAGCCCTTGCGGTAGCCGTGGACGCACTGGATCGTGTAGGCGTAGAAGGGGATGCGGTTCACGACGCGGCCCAGGTTCTGCCGCGCGACGATGGCGATGAGCGACGGCGACAGCTTCGAGAGCATGTCCTTGTTGAAGTGGTCGCGGTAGACGGGCTCGCTGAGCATGATGTACTCGCGGAGCTTGAGGCGCAGCGCGTTCGGGAAGCCGCTCTTGGCCATGTAGTCGTTCAGGTTGTCCAGCGTCTGCTTGAACTCGTTCGCGACGGGGTCCAGGTTCGACATGATGTTCGACATGTCGCCGATGAGGAACGCGAGGATGATGACGCCCATGAGCATGATGATGAGCCCGAGGACGCACTCGGCGTGCGTGATCGTGTCCGCCTCGCCGTTGAGCGCGATGAGCGCCCAGATGCAGGCCTCGACGTAGACGGCCCAGATGCCCTCGCCCCAGTTGCCCGTCTCCGTGAGCACCGTCTTCGGGCAGTCCGAGTACTGGCCCGCGGCCATCTCGCAGTCCCCCAGGTTGTAGTCCGTCACGAGGCGCAGCGCGCAGGCGGACCAGTGGATCATGAACAGCAGGAAGATGCAGTAGGTGATGATGGTCTGCATCTTCGTCGACATGTCGACGTGCTTCGCGACGTTGCCCACGAGCTTCTGGCTCTTGAGCACCTTGGCGAGCTTGAAGAGGCGGAAGAGGCGCAGGAGCCGCACGATCTTCGCCTCGGCGAAGAAGTACTCCAGCGGCAGGATGGACCCCACGTCGAGCAGGAGCCAGGACTTGGCGTAGAGCCACGCGATGCCGCCGTACGACAGCACCCACTCGTTCCGCTTCTCGTCGTAGACGGCCGTGGAGAAGTTGAAGGAGATGTCGATGATGAACCCGAAGTTCACGATCATGTTCGAGAACCAGAGGCCCGTGTGCTTGTTGGGGATCACGTAGCCCTTCCGGAACGTGTCGCGGTCGAAGTTCGACTTGAAGGGCCCGCCGGACACGTACGCGAGCTCGAAGGGCGTGACGATCATGACGAAGAAGATGAGCACCATCATGAAGATGTCCCAGCCCAAACGCCAGTCGAGGAGCGGGTTCATGACGCCGTAGGGCGCCAGGTGGTAGGGGAAGACGTCGTCGCGCCGGTCGTCGAGGTCGTCGCCGCCGTCGTCGTCGTCGGGCTCGTCGACGGGGCCCATGAGGTCCGCGAGGGACATCTTCTTCCGCGGGCTGCCCGAGCTCATCATGCGCTGGAGGCTGCTCCGCCGCTTGTGCTGCGACGACCGCGCGGACGGGTGGTCCTCCTCGGACAGCGCGGACGGCGGCGGCGTCGGCCGCGGGTGCTCGTCCTTGGCCTCGGGGTGGAACTGGACCGCGGGCACGGGCGGCAGCGGGGCCAGCTCGACGGCCGGCGGGCTCGACGGCTCGGAGGACGCCGAGCCGACGCCCGCGGACACGGACACGGACGCGGACCGGTCGTTGACGTTGACGTTCACGTTCACGCTCAGCGCCGGCGCGGGCAGGAGGCCCTCGCCGCTCCGGAGCGCGAGCTCCTCGGGCACGTCCGCGTAGTCGGGCTCGTCGCCGCGGACGAGCGGCGCCGCGCTCTCCTCGTCGTCGGCCATGGGGAGAAACTCCTCGTGGCACGAGTCGACGGTCAGGTCTTCCCTGGCCTCGCAGGGTCTCTGGCAGGGGTTGATATCGCAGAACTGGCCGAGGACCGACGACATTCACCGCCCGGGGGCCCGGGCTGGCTTCACTCGCGAGTCCGCGGCTAGACTAAAGTGGCAGCCCCGTGCTGTAAGCGACGGCCGAGGTGATCGATTATTTGCTCATGCAACGTCGGGCACTGCGGCAGTGCAAACTGCACCATGGGCGGATGATGGCCAGCCCCGCATGGCCGCCCTGCGCCTCGCAAAGGCGTGCGTCCACACCAGCGACGATGACCCCACGATTGCGACGCGGGCGCGCCTCGAGCACAGCGGCGAGTGGCACCGCGGCTGGCGCGCGCTGCTGCCCATCACCACCCGCAGCTTCACGGACCGGGAGGTCTCCCGCGCCGTCTTCCTCGCCTCCGGCGCATCGCTCGAGGACGGCTGCCGCGCCGTCGTCGCCGAACGGCTCGCGGTCGCCCGGCGGCTCGCGCGGTCCGAGAGCGGCCGCGCGATGATGGCGAAGACGGGCGTGCTGCGGGGGTGCGACGAGCGCTGGAGCGGCGCGGCCTTCGCCGCCAAGTTCGACGAGATCGCGGCCGTGCTCGTCGCCCTCCTGCTCAAGGAGGCCGCGGCCCTCGCGCGGCCGGCGCCGCGGCTCCGGCCCGCGGCCGTCGCGAGCCCGCGCGCCGCGGCGCTCCTCGCGGGGGCGCCGCTCGCCCGCCTCGGGGACCGCGGCCGCTGCGTCGTCGACGGGGCGCTCACGGGGGCGGAGGCGCGGCGCCTGCGCGCCCACCTGGACGCGCGCTTCCGCACCTGCGACGTGTCGCGCGACGCCTGCAACGGCGGCTGCCGGAGCGCAGCCGTCGACGTGCTCGACGCGGCGCCCGCCGTCGCGCCCGCGGCCGCGGTGCTCGCGGGCGCCGCGGAGAGCCTCGCGCGCTGGGCGGGCCTGGAGCTCGGCGTGCCGCGCGTCGCGCGGGCGTCGTGCTACCCGCCGGACGGGTCGCGCTACGCGGCGCACAGGGACTGGACGGAGGCCGAGCGCACGAACGACCGCTTCTTCACGCTGCTCCTCTACGCCGCGGGCAACGACGAGGCGTCGGGCGCCCTGCGGCTCTACGACCCCGACGGCGACGTCGCGCCCAGGGCCGGGCGCCTCGTCGTCTTCCTGAGCCGCACGACGCGCCACGAGGTCATGCCGACGTCCGCGCCGCGCTGGGCGCTCCAGCTGTGGCTCGACGCCGTAAGTCGGGGCGCGTGGTTAGACGTCCTGGGCGCGGGGGCGGCGGCCCGCGGCGGCGTCCTTCGGGACGGGCGGGTTCTCGGCGCCCGCCGCGGGGATGCCGTAGCAGTGGCTCGTGAGCTCGGATTTGAGGCTCTCGAGCCACTTGACGTGGTTCGCGACGGCGTGGCGCGCCTGGGAGCGGTTCCGCGTCCAGTCCTTGAGCTGGGCGCCGAGGCCCTCGCGGGGCGCCGCGGGCTCCGGCGGCGGCGCCCAGGCCTCGCGGCCGTAGGCGCCGCCGCGGAAGTTCTCCCAGTTGGCCTGCGACTCGTCGTAGAAGGCGTCGCTGGGCCGCGGCGGCGGCGGCGGCGGCGGCGGCGGCGCGTAGGGCGGCGCGTAGGCCTGCTGGTAGGCGTAGGGCGGCGCGTAGGCCTGCTGGTACGGCTGGTGGACGACGTAGTACGGCGGCGGCGCGCGCGGCTCGCGGCTCTCGCGGGGCACCGGCGCGTCGGAGACGCGGTGGCGCCGCCCGGAGGACCGGTGGCGCGGCCGCGGCGACGCGTCGAACATGGTGCTGAAGGACCGCGTGTCGCTCTCGAGCTCCGAGCTCAGCGCGTCGAGCTCGCTGAGCCGGTCGTCGTCGAGCGCGAGCGACGCGAGGTCGCCGCCCGACGGGCTCCGCCCCAGGTCCGCCAGCGGCGCGCGCCGCTCCCGGCCCAGCGCGGTCTCCGCGCGGCGGATCTTCGCCTCGCGGTCGCCGAGCCACCGCTGGATGGACCGGAGCTGGCGCACGAGGCGATTCAGGTCGTCGGTCTCGCGGTCGAGCGCGCGCCGCTGGGCCGGCTCGAGGCCGTCGCCGCCGCGGCGCCGGCCCCGGCCGCCGGCGCTCCGGCGCCACTCCTCGCGCCGGTCCTCGAGCGTCCGCTGCCGCGTCCGCAGCCAGTCGCGCTGCCGCTTGACGAGGTCCCGCGCGCGCGCGAGCGCGTCGTGCTCCACGGCGAGCTTCTCCTGCCACCGGTCCGCCGTCGCCTCGGGCGCCGGCGCCGGCGCCGGCGCCGGCGGCGTCGCCGCCGCCGGCGGCGGCGTCGCGGTCGACGCGGGCGCGGGCGGCGGCGCGCGGAGCGCGGCCGCGAGCTTGGCCTCGAGCTCCGACCGGTCCGCGCGGACGCGCGCGAGCTCGGCCTCGGCGGCCGTCGCGCGGCTCCCCGCGGCCTCGGCGTCGAGGGCGCTGCGCCGCTGGTCGTCGAGGGCCTCGGCGACGCGGCGCGCGGCGTCCGCGCGGTCGCGCTCCGCCGCGGCCGCGCGGCCCCGCTCGACCTCGAGGGCGGCCTCGGCGCCGCCGGAGCTCCGCGTCGCCGCCTCGCTCAGCAACCGGCTCCGCGCCTCCTCGCCCCGGAGCCGCTGCTGCGCGTCCGACGCCGTCGCCTCGGCCGCGAGCGCGCGCGCGGCCGCGGCCTTGGCGTCGGCCTCGAGGCGCGTCACGCGGTCGTCGTAGGCCGCCTTCTGGCGCGCCTCGGCGTCCTTCGACGCCGCGGCCTCGCGCTCCGCGCGGTCCGCGCGGTCCGCGGCGTCCGCGGCGTCCGCGCGCGCGGACCGGAGGTCGTCGTCGGCCGCGCGCCGCGCCTCCGACGCCTCGTCCTCCTTGGCCTTGGCGCGCGACGCGTGCCAGTCCGCCTCGGACTTGGACTCGTCCAAGGCGAGCGCCGCGTCGCTCGCCGCGCGCTTCGCGTCGCGGAGCTCCGCGCGCGCGGCCCGCAGCTCCGCGTCGCGCTCGGACCGCGACCGCTCCGCGTCCTCGAGGGCCGCGGCGGCGTCGCGCGCGGCCTGCTCCGCGGCCTCGGCGCGCCGGTCGCCGCGCTCCGCGGCCGCGCGGAGCCGCTCCTCCTCGGCGCGACGCGTCCGCGCGTCGTCCGCGGCCCGCGCCGCGGCGTCCTCGGCGAGCGCGAGCCGCTTCCGCGCGTCGGCGGCCTCGTCCGACGCGCGCTTCGACGACGCGCGGAGCGCCTCGACCTCGGCGTCGCGCGCGGCGTCGCCCGCGGGCGCGCGCGCCGCGCCGAGGAGCTGCGCCGTCGACGCCTCGGCCTTCTCCTTCTGGCGGAGCGCGGCCTCGAGGTCGCGCCGCGCGTTGCGCGCGTCGGCGCGCGCGGCGTCGCCATCGCGCTTCGCGGCGTCGGCCTCGCGCTGGAGCCGCGCGCGCTCGTCGTCGCGCGCCGCGTCGCGCCGCGCCGCGTCGTCGCGCGCGCTCGCGGCCTCGCGGTCGCGGTCGCGCGCGGCGTCGGCGGCGCGCGTCGCGGCCTCCTCGAGGCGCCGCTCGCCGTCGGCCGCCCGGTCCTCGGCGGCGCCTAAACGGCTCCGGAGCGCCGCGAGCTCGCCCGCGCGCGCCTGCTCGGCGGGCGCCGCGTCCGCGCGCGCGGCCTCGGCCCGCGCGCGCGCGGCGCGCTCGCGGTCCGCGGCGCTCTCCAGGGCCTCGGCCTTGGCGCGCTGGCGCTCGGCCTCGTCCTCGAGCGCCGCGACCTGGGCCTCGAGGCGCGCCCGGGCCGCGGCCGCGGCCTGCCGCTCCGCGTCGGCCGCGCGGGCCTCGTCCGCGCGCGCGCGGTCCGCCTTCGCGGCCTCGTCCTTCAGCCGCGCCACGTCGGCCTCGAGCGCCCGGGCGTCGCCGTCGTCGACGGCGTCGACCGCGGGCGGCGCCCTGGTCGCCGCGCGCTGCACCTCCTCCGTGAGGTAGCGGACCTTGACCTCCAAATCCGTCGCGGCGCGCCGCGCGTCGCCCTCGAGGCGCCGCGCGTCGCGCGTCTCGGCCCGGCTCGCGTCGACCTCGGCCTGCAGCGCCGCGGCGCGGCTCTCGATCTTCGCCAGCTCGAGCCGCGCGTCGAACGCGTCCTTCTTGGCCGTCTCGAGCGCGCGCGCGCCGTCGTCGGCCGGCGGCGCGGCGGCGACGGGCTTCGCGAGCTTGACGGCGGCCTCGCACTCGCGGCTCTTGACCTCGTACAGATCCTTGGCCTTGGTGGCCTCGTGGTCCGCGGCGGCCGCGCGCCGCTCCGCGTCCGCGAGCTCGCGCGCCGACACCTCGCGCGCGCGCTCCGCGTCCGCGCAGCGCCGCTCCGCGGCGTCGGCGCGCGCCGCCGACGCCGACGCGTCGCTCTTCGCCAGCCCCAGATCGCGCTCGAGGTCGCCGGCGCGCTTCTCCGCCGCGCGGCGCTCCGCGGCCTCGGCGGCGACGAGGCTCCGCGTCTCCGAGCCCTCCTTCGCGTCCTGCGCGCGCGCCGCGGCGACCGCGCGGTCCTCGGCGGCCTTGGCGCGCGCGTCGGCGGCGTCGCGGCCCTCCTCGGCGGCGGCGGCGCGCCGCGCCTCGCGGTCCCGGTCCGCCTCCGCGGCCTCCTTGGCGCGCGCGGCCTTGGTCCCGGCGTCGCGCGCGGCCGCGGCCTCGCCCTTGACCTTGACCAGTTCCGCCTGGGCGTCCTTGAGCTCGAGCTCCGTCTTCGCGACGGTCGACTGCGTCGCCGCCGCTTCCGTGGCCGCGAAGGTCCCGTCGAACGCGGCCATCTTGTCCGCGTAGAAGTAAAAGTCCTTGATGTCGATGTTGTCCGACTCCATGACCCAGTCCGCGTCCGGGTTCGTCGGGTTCCCGCTCAGGTTGTCGGACGCGGCGAAGTTCGTCTTCGTGTCGTCCTCGATCTCCGCGAAGAGCTTGCGGCCCGCCTCCTTCTTGAGGAGCGCGCACGCGAGCAAATCCACGCGGCCGCCCTTTTTCACCGCGGCCGCGAGGCCGAACATGACGCGGCGGACGCCGTTGTCCTCCTCGTCGAAGGCCGCGGGGTCCGTGATGACGATGTGCTTCGCCAGGGCCCACTTGAAGGGCGCGCTCGCCGCGTCCTCGGCCGTGCCGGGCGGGCCGTGGCACGCGAAGCAGATGGATTCGAAGCCCCCGGGCGCGTGCGTCTTCCGCTCCCAGTCCACCTTCTCCAGGATGTCCTCGACGGTCGACGTGTCGAAGTCGTAGCCGACCTTGTGGGTCTTGACCATGCCCAGAAAGTCCTCCTTGTCCGGCGTGTCGCTCGAGTAGAGCACGAGGCGCGGCGGCTCCTTGGGCGCCGCCGCGGCCTCGGCGGCCTCGCGTTTCGCGCGCTCCGCGGCGACGTCGTCCTGGAGCGTGCGCTTCTCCGCCTCGAGGATCTCGATCTTCTCGCGCAGCTCGTCGAGCTGCGCGGTGTCGGGCGCCGCGGCCGCGGCCGCGGGCCGCGCGGCGGCGTCGCGCCGCGCGGCCGCCGCGTCGTCCTTGGCGGCCTGGGCCTCGGCCCGGGCGGCGTGGGCGTCGTCCTCGGCGGCGACGGCGCGGTCCCGCGCCGTCTTCGCGCCCTCCTCGGCCGCGGCCGCGCGGTCCTTGAACCGCCGCGCGTCGTCGTCGGACGACTTGGCGCGGCCGTCGGCGTCGCGCGCGCGGTCCTCCGCGGCGTTGGCGCGGTCCCGCTGCTTGCGCACGTCGTCCTCGGCCTTGGCCAGGCGCTCGCCGGCGCGCTTCTCCTTCTCCTCGGCCTCCTCGGCGCGGAGCCGCGCCATGTTCGCCGCGTCCTCGGCGCGCGTCCGCGCCTGGGCAGGAAAAGAGTGATTCAAGTTCGCTTCAACGTGAGTGTTCCGCGCGCGCGCGTTCCGGAAAAAGCATCCACGCGTCGAGACTGTTCCGAGGGATGATCGCTCGTCCAAGAATCAGCCGAAACGAGTGGAAAACGACCGAGATCGGAGCCTTTGACGTTGGGAATGTCGCTCTCTTGTGCTGCCCCGGTCCGCGCGCGCTTGGCCTCGTCGGACTCGCGGCCGCCGCCGCGCTTCGCCTCCTCGAGGTCGCGCTCGAGGCGGTCCGCGCGGTCCCGCTCGCCGCCGGCGTCGCGCTCCGCCTTCTTCGCCTGGGCCCGCGCGTCGTCGACCGCGGCCTCGGCGTCGCGCGCGGCGAACTCGGCGGCCTCGACCTTGCCCCGGAGCTTGTCGCGCTCGCGCTCGAGCTCGCGCACGCGCTCCTTGAGGGCGCCGTCCTCGCGGTCGCTGGACCGGTGCGCGTCGCTCGCCGAGCCCAGGGACTGGCGCCGCTTCGCCGCGTAGCCGCCGCCGCCGGACGACTCGGACCCGCGGCTCCCGAGGTTCCGCCGGTCGCGCGGCCCGTCGTCGTCGGAGCGGCCCGCGTCGTCGTCCTTGCGGCTCGGGCCGCGGTGGGTCAGGGACCCCTCCATGTCGCTGTCGCTCGCGCTCAGCGCCGTCGCGAGGCGCCCCGCGGCGCGCGACGACTTCTTGCGGACGGCGGGCGCGGAGTCCTCGGACTCCGCGGACGCGGGCCGGAGGCTCGCCGCGGGCGCCCGGTCGGCCTCGACCTTGCGCAGGCTCTCGACCTTGCTCCGCGAGCTCGACGGCGACCGCGACCGGTCGTCGCGGCGCAGCGACTCCGTCGACGAGTCGCGGTCGCGGCCGCCGCGGTCGCCGTCGCGGTCGCGCGCGGGGCCCGGCGCGCTCGACTTGAGGGGGCTCAGGCCCCCGAGGGACGCGCCGCCGCCGCCGCCGCCCATGCCCTTGATGCCCGGCAGGGGCTTGCGGTCGAAGATGGAGCCCTTGCCGCCGCCGCCGCCGCCGCCGAGCGCGCCGAGCGCGCCGGGGCCCTCGGCCTTGGGCATCTTCGACGACGACGACGCCTTCTTCTTCTTCTCGTCCTTGCCGTTCTTGCCCAGCAGCACCTTGACGTCCTCCTTGGCCTGCTTCTTCTTCGCGTCCTTCTTCTCCTCCTCGCCCGACGCCTTCTTCTTCCGCTGCTCCTCGTAGAGGTTCCGGTAGTACTCGTCGCAGGGGTGGTCCCACGTGCTCTCGCCGCTCGCGAAGTTGAAGTAGTAGATCTCGTCCGTGTCCGTCGTCTTGCAGGGCTTCCAGTTCTCGGGCAGCGGCGCCTACGTGTCTCGGGTCGGTCGCGCCGTCGCGTCGCGCGCGCGCCGGCGCCGCGCCTTGAGGCCCTCGCGCGCGATCCAGAACATGTCCACGTCCTTCTCGAGGTCCATGCCGAGCCACTTGGCGTACTCCATGACCTCCTCCTGGCTCGGCACGTAGTTCGGGTCGATCTCCTCCTGCGGGGGGCGCGGGATCGGGCCGCGGCGCGCGGCAGCCGAAAACCCACCTCCAGGATGATGCTATCACCCTGCTGGTTCGGGGCGCCGGGCGTGCCCCCGCCATCCGACGCCGCCTTCATCTCGCCGCCGCCGGCAGCAGCGGTCGGTGCGACGGCCGGTACCAGGCTGTGAATTCAAGCGGGCAGCCTCAGGCAACACGAACATGAATTGAGGGCAACAGCGGCTCACTTGCAGTTCGCTGATTGGCACAGGAGCCGCGAGCCGCCGCCCGCGCGCAGCCAGCCAGCCAGCAGCAGCCAGCAGCAGCAGCAGCGCTGCGACACGATGTTTGCGCGCATGTTCGGGCAGAAGAAGGATCTGAAGATCCACTGCAGCCACCACACGACGTGCAGCCGGCGCGTCATCATGGCGCTCCTCGAAAGCGGCCAGGACTTCGAGTACGTGCACGTCGACATGGCCAAGGGCGAGCACAAGTCGCCGGCATTCCTCAAGATCCAGCCCTTCGGCAAGGTGCCCGTGCTCCAGGACGGGGACTTCACGCTCTTCGAGAGCCGCGCGATCATGAAGTACGTTTTGACCGGCACGCCGCTCTGCCCCGGCGACGCGAAAGAGATGGCCGCCGTCGAGAGCGCCATCAGCGTCGAGTACAGCTATTTCACGCCGGCCTTCATGCCCGTCTACGTCGAGCGCATGCTCAAGAAGAAGAAGGGCCTCGAGGCCGACGAGACGAAGGTCGCGGCGGCGATCGAGGCGCTCGGCCCCGTGCTCGACGTCGTCGAGGCGCTCCTCGAGGGCAAGACCTACATGGCCGGCCCGAAGTTCACCATGGCGGACATCTCCTACATGCCCTATTTCCACCAGTTCGACGCGCTCGGCATCGCGGAGCTCCGCGACGACCGCCCGAACCTCAAGGCGTGGTGGGCGACGGTGTCGACGATGCCGAACTGGGCGTACGCGACGTCGGGCAAGGTCGCCACCGAGAAGGTCGCGAAGGCGGCCTAAGGACTACAACGTCGCTTATCGAGGCTGCCCCGCGTAGCCGTGCTCCGCGAGGAGGCCGTCCATGCGCGCGTTCGCGCGCGCGGCGACCTCGAGGTCGCACCGGTTCGCCGCGCGGAGGCGCGCGAGGTCGTCCTCGGAGAGCGCGTAGCCGCGCGCGCGCGCGTAGGCCGCGGCGTCGCCCGCGGCGACGTCGTCGCCGCCGCGCGCGCGGGTCCGGTTCGCGGCGACGCCCAGGACCTTCTCCATGAGGAAGTAGGACTCGTCGCGCCGGTCCGCGAGGTTCAACACGACGTCGTAGCGCCCGAGGCGGTCCAGCGCGGCCCGGAGCCGCGCGTCCGTGCAGGGCTCCGCCGCGCCGAAGTCCGCGCTCGGGAGCAGGTGCCGCGTGAGGAAGTTGCGGAGCTGGACCTCGTAGCGCCGCGGCGCCCGGCGCCACTCGCCGCGCAGCAGCGATCGCAGCTCCTTTGGCGTGAGCGTCCGCGCCTTGCGCTGGTTCATCGCCGCGAACGACAGGAAGCGCGCCACGGGGTCGCGGAAGAGGAGCACGGTCGCGTACGCGCCGCCCGGCGGCGCGTCCAGGGCGCTCCGCGCCGTCGCGTCGAGGCGGTAGCCCGGCTCGACCATGATCGTGCCGCAGAGGCCGCGGTGCGCGGCCATCGCCGCGGCCGCGGCCGCGGGCGCGACGTCCTCCGCCGCGACGGCGTCGCGTCCGAGCGCCGCGACGTAGCTGCGATACGTCGCGGTCTTCTCGTCGACGCGGCAGTTGACCCTGGGCCGCGTCGCCGGCGCGTCCGACGACCCGTAGAATGTGCGGCAGGCGTCCCTGCACAGTGCCGTGCCGCCGGCCTTCATGGTGTGCATCACTAAGAGCGGTTTACGGATGTGGGTGTCGTCGGCGGCGAGCGTCGCTATTCGTGCGAGTGCGAGGAGGATGGAGGGATTCATTCTCGATTTCCTGCGGCACGGCCGGCGGCTTTCGGGCGGCCCTCGACGCCTCGCCCTCGTCGAGCTTCGCCGAAGTCCACAAGCGCTGCGGCGATTGCGGCGGCCCGACTGCGACTCGAGCATGCGGAGCATCGAAGTGGCCTGCGGCGCCGAGCCTCGCGCAGCGTCGCCTCGTGCGCTCGGGAGCGCGCAGAGCTCGCGCGCCGCCTAGTGCCTGCCCGAGGACCGCACGCAGCGGCGCGTCGCCCAGGTCGCCGCGGCGGTCGCGCTGCGCCGTCGACCGCTGCTCAAGGTCGGTGCGTCCACCAGCCGGTCCGCGCGTCGGCGCTGCGCCGCTGGGGGCGCGTCGACGTGTCCCTCGCGCCCTACGGGTCCCGCGTGGTCCGCGGCGGCGCTCGGCCGGTCCGCGGCGTCGGTGCCAAATGGCCCAGGCGGCTCGCGGCTCGCCGCTAAGCGCTCTCGTTCCGAGCGTCGCGGCGCACCTGGTGCCCTTCCTTCTGTTAGACGAGTCAGCTGAGCTCGCCATTTCGTTGTGCCAGCGCGATCTGAAAGACCTCCGCTTGAGCGTGATCGAGAGCTTAAAGAAGGAGCAAAAGAAGTACGACAACGGTGGCGTCCTCGTGATTGGCCGGCTGGAGATGGCGTACGGTGCGCGAAGCTTGAAAAAGCATGATCGCAACATTAAGCGAGTGCGCGCGATCATTGCTTCGGGGAAATACAACTTCGATTTCACCATTAAAGGCTGGACCGCGCTTCATCACACATGTCTTAGCGCGGATCTCGACATGCTCGCCTTGCTCGTATCGTGCCCCGACGCATCCAAAATCATCAACGCGGGCTGTCCTACGATGGGACGTACGCCGCTACACTTTGCTTTGGGCTGTGGTGCATCCGACCTGCCTTGGGATCATGAGATTAAAATGCTCAAATTGCTTCTATCAGTCCCTGGCATTGACGTGAACAAAGAAGGTAACAATGCAGATACTCCATTGGACTGGGCTATTACGTTTCTGGGGACCGATCATCCTACCACTGAGATCCTGCGCCACTGCGGAGCACTCCACGGCAGTAGGATTGCATCCCAGCTCGGCCCAGAGCCCGCCTTCCACCGTACAGCCGTGCCATCGGGTCTGACCCTCGAGGAACATCTCGACCGCTACGCCGCGACATGGTTTGAGAAGGTGGGCTCACAGCGACCGGGAGGCCCTCGGGACGCCCCCTGGAACCGTGTTGATGAACTGGCGCGTCATGGACGCTTCGAAACAGGCGCGGAACAGGCGCGTCGGCTCGAAGACGCTGGCCGCGCCAACTGGGTCCGAGTCGACGGCCGCTGGGTCCCAGTCGACGAGGAACCTCCTACACCGTGACAGAGCAGTAAACACCGCGTGCCTTTACATACATGGGTAGTTCGCGAAGCGCCGACCCTCAGATGGGGTAGATGCGGTCCTGGTCGCACATGACCTTCTCGCTGCGCTCGAGCTCCTTGAGGACCGCGTCGAAATCCGGGAGCGACGCGAGGCGGCTCTTGAGCTGGGCGACGGCGATGCCGTCGTCGCCGGCCGCGGGCGACAGCGCGGCGATCTCCGTGGAGACGCGGATGATGTCGAGGGGCGAGCAGCTCGTCGCCTTGGCCGCGGCGGCGTCGCGCGGCGTCGACGGCTCGCGCGCGGCCGTCGTCAGGCGCCGCCGCGCCTCTCCGGGCGGTTCGGCGCGCGGCGACGCGGGCGCCGGCTCGGGCGCCGGCGCCTCCGCCGCGGGCGCCGGCGACGCCGCCTCCTGCGCCGCGTCGAGCGCGTCGGGCTCCTCGGCGCACACCGAGCCCATGTCCGAGCCCTCGGCCTCGGGCTCCGAGTAGCACGCGTCGTCGTCGTCGTCGTCGTCGTCGTCGTCGTCGTCGGCCGGCGCGAGCTTGAGGATCGCCGCCTCCGTGAGCGTCTCGACGTAGCCGTCGGCGTCGTAGCGCACGCGCCACCGCCGCGATCCGCTCCGCTTCGCGGCGGGCCCGACGACGGCGCCGCGGAACTTCCGCGTCGCGCTCACGGCCTTGAAGGCCTTCTCGACGACGGTGCCGACGGCGACGCGCGGCTTCTTGCGCGGCGCCGGCGCCGCGGCGCCGCGCGGCCGCTTCGCGGCGCCGGCCGCCGTCGGGACGCGGAGCACGTCGAGGTCGTCGGGCAGCACGAGGTCCTGCTGCACGCCCTTGTGGCGCCGGTAGGCGAAGCTGACCTGGCGCCGCCCGCCCTCGACGTCGCGCGCCGACTTGATGGCGCCGCCGTGCCAGACGCCGTCGAACTGCATCTCGCAGGCCAGGCCCGCGACGCAGTCCTCGAGCGTCGCCGGGCGCGCGCGCTCGGCGGACGCCTGGGGCGTGATCGTGTGGGAGCGCTGCATCATTTTTTTTTCTCTAGCCCTTTTGGCAAGCTTTGGCGGCTAGTTTTCAGTGGGAGAGCACGGGCGCGCGGGGCATGCCCTGTTTGAAACTCTGTGAATTCGTCATTGAAAGCAAATTGAACGCTTGTTGAATATGCTTGAAGCGAGACTACTAGGTGTGCTTCGACGCGACGAAGTAAGGCACTCGGGTATTGGTCGGGGCGCGCGCCGTGCGCCTCCCCAACATGACGCGAGAGAACGTCCGAAAGGAAGCGCCAGACGCGCGCGCCACAGCACTAGCGACAAAATGCGCGTCTTAAACGCCGGACGAGAGCCCACTAGAGCTCGGTGTGGGCCGGCACGGCGGACTCGAGCTCGGTGATGAAGAGGAGGAACCGGACGACGCTCGCGACGAGGAGCAGGCACCACGCGGACGCGAGGGACCGCGCCGCGGTCCCCCGGATGTCGCGGAGCGTCTCGAGGGCCTGGGGCGCGAGGGAGTAGAGGCTGAGGGCGAGGAAGGTGCCCGCCGTGAAGGCGACGAGCTCGTCCTCGCGCTCGACGACGAGCGGCGCGGCCGCGAACGCGACGCCGCCGAAGCACGTCAGCGACGCGAGGAAGTTGGCCGCGAGGAGCCCCGGCACGGAGAAGCCCGCGCGCTTGAGCACGGCGAAGTCGCCGAGCTCCTGGGGCAGCTCGTGGACCGCGACGGCGACCGTGGTCGCCGCGCCGGCCTCGGGCGACAGGCGCCACGCGACGCCGAGCGCCATGCCGTCCGCGAAGTTGTGCAGGCCCTCGACGAGCAAGTTCGCCACCCCGAAGGGCCGGATCGTCGCGTCGGCGCCCCGCAGCGCGTCGCAGAGGCCCTCGAAGGCCAGCACCGCGACGACGCCCGCGATGAGGAGCAGGCCGTACGTCTCCGCGCGCGCCGCGTCCGCGCCCTCGAACGTCTCGGGGATCATGTGCAGGCACGCGTCGCCGATCATCGCCGCCGCGGCGACGGTCAGGCACGTGTAGTCGAGGAACGAGCTCACGGGCCGCTTCGGGAAGAGCGCGCCGAAGGCGCTGTAGGTCACCGCGCCCGCAAACGACAGCAGCGACATGAGCGCCGCGGCGCCGTAGGCGCCCGTGACGAAGAAGAACATCGGCGCGGGGCGCTGGGAGACTCGCGGGTGACGGGTCAGGCCCGATGACACAGCTCGACGGCGAGGTCAAGTGCTGCGGCGACGCGTGCAAAGCGTGAGCTTGCGGCTGAGAGTGCTCCGACTCAACGCTCGTCGTTGACGAGTTCAAGCATCTTCAACTTGCAGTGGATGCCGCGTCACGGCGTCGACCTCGCTTCGCATCAAGCTTGAAGCGACGTTGCCCCAAGCTTCCCACGCGAGCATTATCCGCGCCCGACGAGGGGCATGTTCGTCGCCATGACGGTCATGTTGAGGACGTTGGCGGAGAGGGGCAGCTGCGCCATGTAGAAGACGGCGTCCGCGGCGTCGTCGGTGCCCATGCGGGGCTCGGGCCGGTCGGAGCCGTCGGCCTGGGGCATGCCCGTGGCCATGGCCGCGGAGAGGGGCGAGACGACGTTGCCGTAGTCGATCTGGCCGCAGGCGATCCCGTGGGCCCGGCCGTCGAGCGCGAGGGACTTGGTGAGGCCGGAGACGGCGTGCTTCGACGCCGTGTACGCGCACGACCCGGGCCGCGGCGTCTGCGCGGACACGGAGCCGTTGTTGACGATGCGCCCGCCGCCGTGGCCCTTCATGAGCCGGAAGGCCTCGCGCGCGACCTACGAAAGCGTCGTCGAGTTCCGCGCGCGCGAAAAGAGACGCGGGAATCGTCGCGTGGAACGCGGCGTCGACGTTCGTGCCGACGACGTAGCGCCAGGCGTCGAGGGACATGTCCTCGACGGACGTCGGCGGCACGTTGACGCCCGCGTTGTTGAAGAGCAGGTCGCAGCGGGGGAGCTCCGCGAAGAGCCGCTCCACGTCCTTCGGGTCCGTGAGGTCCGCGGGCGCGACGACGACGGCGCAGCCCGGGTGCGCCGCCTCCGCCAGCGCCGCGGTCTCCTCGAGGGGCGCGCGGCGCCGGCCCGCGACGACGACCACGGGCGCGGCGTCCGTCCAGCCGCCCGCGGCCAGTCGGACCGCGACGGCGCGGCCGATGCCGCTGCCGCCGCCCGTGACGAGCGCGACGCGCCGCGCGTCCGCGGGGACCAGTGGCGCCGGCGGTGCCGCGGGCGCGGGCGCGACGCCCGCCGCGAGAGCTTCCGGAAAGTCCTCCATGTACTCCCGCACGAGGTCGTCGGCGCTCCCGGGCGCGGGGAAGCCGAGCTTCTCGGCGCGCGCCGCGTCGACGCGCACGGGGAAGCTGCCGACGGCGGCCGACAGCGCGTCGTCGACGGCGAAGGTGACGCGGCCGAGCTCGCCCGCGGACGCCGGGTCGACGTTGCGCCGCACCGCGGCGACGAGCTCGTCGATGGACACGGCCGTCGACCGCAGGAAGACCGTGCGGTCGTAGCCGAGCACCGCGTCCGCCGTCGCCGCGGGCGCGTCGTGCGCGGCGACGAGCGACGCGACGGCGCTCCGCGCGCCCGCGACGGCGTGCTTGACGCCGCCGGCGATGGGGCTCGCCGTGTCGACGCCCGCGAGCGTCTCGCGGACGACGCCGCTGTAGACGCCCGTCGTCGCCGCGTTCGGCGCGCCCGCGCGGACGACCACGGACGGCAGGCGCACGCCGCGGCCGTCGACGAAGCCCCGGCGCGAGTAGTCCGCGAGCAGCAGTTCGCCGCAGGCCTTGGTCATGCCGTAGGTCGTGTGCGGCGTCGCGCGCGTCGCGTCGGACACCTCGCCGTCGCTCGCGACCCAGTCCGTCGGCGCGCCCGCGCCGAGCGTCGCGCCCGCGGACGCGTAGACGAAGCGCGGCCGCGGCGCGCCGCTCCGGCGCGCGGCCTCGAGCATGTGCATCGTGCCCGCCAAATTCGTCGCCAGGCACAGGTCGAAGTCCGCCTCGCCCTGGCCGGACATGACCGCGCCGAGGTGGAAGACGGACAGCGGCCCCGCGCCGTCGCCGACCAACGCGTCGCAGAACGCGCGGTCCGCGACGTCGCCGACGGCGACGGACGTCGCGACGCCTCCCGCGCCGTCGAGGAGCTCGGGCCGATGCACGTCGGCGAGCACGATGCTCTGGATCTTCGCCGTCGACTCCTCGCCGTCGTGCCGGTGCGTGAGCAGCGCGCCGCGGCGCACGAGGCTGCGCGCCAGCGACTGGCCCAGGAAGCCCGCGCCGCCGGTGATGACGACGCGCATCTCGTTGTTGTATGGTGCTGCGCTCGAGTTTGCGCCGGTGGCAGCGTATGCGCAGTTACTTGGTTCGATGGCAAGAGAGCATACGCTCACTGTGGCAGAGAGCGAGCGTCAACAAGGCCTTCAAGAATCAATAACCCCCGGTTGCCGCGAATAATCGAGCGGCTGGGCCCGACCTGGGGCAGCAGCCATGAGCGTCTATCCCGACGAGCGGCTGCCCCCGCAGCCGCGGCAGCAGCCTCTGAGCGGCCTCGACTGCTTCTGCTGTTCCGACGTCTCCAAGGAGCGGGACCGCCAGATCCGGAGCCGGGGGAGCTCGCGGGAGCCCGTCGAGTTCGAGGCCAAGCCGCCGCCCGCCGACCTCTGGGACGCCGTGATTAGCGGCTCGACCCTCGAGGGCGACAAGCTCGAGCGCCTGTCCCCGCCCGCGACGCCGACGCGCGTCACGCCGCGGTGCGGCAGCGGGCCCGAGATGCCCGGGCGGGCGGCGCCCGCGCGCGACTTCGCCGACGCCGTCCAGCTCGACGCGCACGCGAAGTGGCGCTACGGCCGCTTCGCCGACTCGCCGCCGTCCATCGGCGAGCGCCGCCTCCGGGAGGTCGGGCGGCAGGCGCCGCCGTCGCCCAGGTCCGACGCGCCCCGGAGCTCGACGGACCAGCTCTCCGCCGCGGAGCCGCCGCCGCCGCCGCCGCGCAAGGCCGCGGCGGACGACGAGGGGCCGCGCGAACGTTCCGCGGAGGCCGAGACCGCCGGCGACGAGACGCCCGCCGAGGCCGCCCCGCCGGAGGCGGCGCCGACGGAGGACGAGGCCGCTATTCCCGAGGAGGCGCCGCCGCCGCCTCTCGCGATGATCGCCGGCGACGAGGACGACGGGCTCGCCGAAAGCGCCCCGCCCGAGGACGAGGCGCCGCCGCCGCCGGCGCCGACGCCTCTCGACGTCGCGGAGCTCGCGCTCGCGCCGGACGGCGAGCCGGCGGAGGAGACGGCGGCCGCCGCGCCGACGACGACGGCGGGCGACGACGAGGCGCCCGCGCAGTCCGCCCCGCCCCCCGAGGAAGACGCGCCGCCGCCGGCGGCGGAACAAACGCACGAGAGCCACCCGCTCGAGAACGACGTCTGCGAGCCGCCGGCGCCGGTCATGACGCTCGACTCCTACGTCGACGAGGGCCCCTTCGAGAGCTCCCTGCCCCACCGCGCCGCGGCCGCGCGGGCCGAGGAGGACATCGCGCGGCCGTCCGAGGAGGACGCCGACGCGGTGCCCGGGGAGACGCGCGTCGCGCGGGCGATGCGGCGCGCGTCGTCCTTCTTCTTCGGCGCGCCCGAGGCGGAGCCGCGGCCCGCGGGGCCCCTGGAGCACCGCTGGCGCCGGGCCGTCGAGGCCGGCGAGGAGAAGGAGGCCGCGCGGCGCGCGTCCGTGCGCGTGAGCGCGGACGTCGCCGCGAATTTGGTCGAGAGCCGGCTCCGCGAGCTCGAGGAGCGCCTCGGCGCGCCGCCCAAGGCCATCCGGGGCATGATCGACACGGGCGTCGCCATCGCGGACCTCGTCGCGGCCCTCGAGGCGCGCGAGCGCGAGCTCCGCGCCGTCGGGGGGCGCGACCCGGACCTCGCGAAGGTCGAGCGCTGGCTCGCGGCGCTCGAGGAGGACCGCAAGCGCGCGGGGTCCGTCGAGTCCGACGACGCGGGGCCCCGGGAGGCCGCGGCGCCCGACGGCGCCGCCGCGGCCGCGCCGATGGCGACGATGGCCGGCGACGACGACGACGACGACCTCGCGGAGCGCGAGGCGCCCGACGACGACGAAGGCTTCGCCGCCGCGCACGGGGAGGCGCTCGAGGCGCGGGACCTGGCCCACGCGAAGGCGCTGGCGTCGACGCGCGAGGCCCACGAGGCGTCGCTGCGCGAGACGCGGGCGGCGGCGCTCGAGGCCGAGGCCGCGCACGCGGAGGCGCTGCGGTCCCTCGCGGCGTCGCACGGCGAGGAGCTCCGGCGCCGCGCGAGCTCGCACGAGGACGCGCTCGCGGAGGTCCGCCGCGCGGCCGCGACGCCCGCGGCGGCGCTCGCGGAGCGGCACGCCGGCGAGCTCGCGACGCGCGAGGAGGCCCACGCGGCGTCGCTCGCGGCGGCCGCGGACGACCACGCGGCGGCCGTCGCCGCGCTCCGCGAGGGCCACGCGGCGGCGCTCTCGGAGGCCGACGCGCGCGCGTCGGCGCTCCGCGAGGGCCACGACGGCGCGCGCGCGGCGCTCGTCGCCGACCACGAGGCCGCGGTCGCGCGGCACGAGGCGGCGCTGTCCCGGGAGACGGAGGCCCACGCGTCGACGCGCGCGTCCCTCGCCGCGCGGCACGAGGCCGACGTCGAGGCCCTCGCCGCCCGGCACGCGGCGGCCGTCTCCGAGGCGCGCGACGAGCTCTCGGGGAAGCACGCGGCCGCCGTCGCCGAGTCGGAGGCCCGGCGCGAGGCCGAGCGCGCGACGACGGTCGCCGAGCACACGCGGGCGCTCTCGGAGCAGACGGAAACCCACTCGACCGCGGTCGTCGCGCTCGTGTCCAAGCACGAGGCCGTCGTCGCGGCGACGGTCGCCGAGCACGAGGCGGCGCTGGCAGCGCTCGCGGAGACCCACGCCTCGAGCGAGGCCGCGCTCGCCGCGCGCCACGAGGCCACGCTGTCGACGACGGTCGCGGAGCACGAGGCGCGACTCTCGTCGTCGGAGACCGCGTGGATCGCCGAGCGCGAGGCCGAGGTCTCGGCGAAGGCCGCGGCGCACGCGGAGGCGGTCGCCGCGCTGACGGAGACGCACGCGACGACGGAGGCGGCGCTGGTCGCCGCGCACGAGGCCGCGCGCTCGACGACGGCCGCGGACCACGAGGCGGCGCTGTCGGCGCTGAAAACGACCCACGCGACGAGCGAGGCCGCGCTGATCGCCGAGCACGAGGGCGCGCTCTCGAAGAAGGTCGCCGAGCACCAAGGCGCTTTGTCCAAGCAAGCGGAGACGCACTCGTCCACGGAAGCCGCGTTGGTCGCGCGACACGAAGAGGAGCTCTCGACGAAGGTCGCCGAGCACGCGGACCTCCTATCGAAGCAGGCGGAGACGCACTCGTCCACGGAAGCCGCGTTGGTCGCGCGACACGAAGAGGAGCTCTCGACGAAGGTGGCGGAGCACGCGGACGCGCTCTCCGCGCTGTCGGAGGCGCACGCCACGGGCGAGGCCGCGTTGATCGCGCGGCACGAGGCCGATCTCCTGACGAAGGTCGCCGAACATCAGGGCGAGCTCTCGGAGCAGGCGTCATCCCACTCGACCACGGAGGCGGCTTTGATCGCCAGGCACGAAGCCGAGCTCTCGACGAAGCTCGCGGAGCACACCGAGGTCCTGTCCAAGCAGGCGGAGACCCACTCGTCCGCGGAAGCCGCGCTGCTCGCCGAGCACGAGGCCGCGCTCTCGACCAAGGTCGCGGCGCACGATGAGACGCTCGCGGCGCTGACGGACGCGCACGCGACGAACACGGCCGCGTTGCTCGCCGAGCACGAGGCCGCGCTCGCCATCAAGGCCGCCGAGCACGGCGCGCTGCTCTCGGAGCGCGCGGAGGCGCACTCGTCCGCGGAGGCCGCGCTCGTCGCGGAGCACGAGGCCGCGCTCGAAAAAACGGCGGCGGACCACGAGGCGCTCCTCGCCCGGGAGCGGGCGGCCCACGTCGCCGAGCGCGACGCCGTCGTCGACTACCACACGGAGGACCGGTCGACGCGGCGCGCGTCCCACCTCGCGGAGCTCGCGGAGGTCAAGGCGGCGCTCGCCGCGGACCGCGAGGCCGCGGTCGCGGGCGCCCTGGACGACGGCGAGAACGCGCTCGCGCGGGAGCGCGCGCGGCACGTTGCGGCGCTCGACGCGGCCCTGCTGGACCAGGAGTCGCGGCTCCTCGAGGAGCACGACGCGCGCACCGCGTCCGCGACCGCGGCGGCGCTCGAAGACCAGGCGGCGCGGCTCCGCGAGGCGCACGACGCCGAGGTCGCCGCGCAGCGCGAGGCGCGCGACGCCGAGGTCGCCGCGCGCCGCGAGGCGCACGCCGCGGCGCTCGACGACGCGGGCGCGACCGCCGCGGCCGCGGAGCGGCGGCGGAGCGCGGACGCGGCGACGGCCCACGCCGCGCGGCACGAGGCGCTCGCGAAGAACGCGGCCGCGCGGCACCGCGAGGAGCTCGCGAGCCGCGTCGACGCGCACGCCGCCGAGCTCGCGCGGACCGAGGCCGAGCTCATCGCCTTCCACGAGGCCGAGGTCGAGGCCGCGGCCGAGGGCCACGCGGCGGCGCTCGG